ATCTGAAATATTTATTGGTACCAGAGAATTCTCAATGTATATGATTCTCTTTCCAATTATTATAGAAGACCTTGCCACAGGGAAGTCTGAATAAAGCAACAGTGACTAAGCACCATTTGCAGGTCAGCATTTTTTTTTTTTAGTATTTTGAAAGCTTTGGACACAGAAAAGCTGTTCTGGAGGAACACTTTTAATAACAAGTGCCACAGAGCATCTCTGTGCAGTGCATTTTTTAGGAGGTATTGTGGAAAACTGAGAAGTGTTTGTGGAGACATTGTAAGTACATTTGGACCTTAGAATATGAGCAAACAGGTTAGTTGGCTGGGTGGAGAGACGTGTAAATTTGGGAAGTTAACTTCCTAGGTTTACTTCCTAGCTGCAGTTGACTTCTTGTATGGGTCTGGGCAATTCTCTGATGTTACTTGCCTCATCTGACCCATTTCCATGTCTACAATAGATCTACTATTACCACCTATTTACTACCTATTGTTAAAAAGCACCTGGAGATTTAATTAATTAGCATTTCTAATTAATTAGTATCTCTCAGGTAGTTTGTAGTTCTCAGAGGAGACTCCAAGGCAAATCTCAACACTTCCTCCCCACCCCACAGTTATTCCTAGTCCAAAGTAAAATCTTGACCTGTCTCCCTGACAATGTGTCTTTGAGGATATCTTACCTGTCAACTGAAGCTCTGTGCAACTGAAGCAGAACCTTTCATAGAATCACTGAATCATTGCATAGTTTGGGTTGGAAGAGACCTTTAGAGATCATCCAGAGCAGAGATATCTTCAGATGTCCAGCCTCTGCCTCCAAGCTTTCATAACTACTTCTCTTCCTAATCTGTTTGGACAACACCAGCATCTTACGCATACTCAGACTCATATGTTTTACCAAGTTATTTTTCTAGGTCCTCACATGCAGTTATATCTAAATTATGCTGATTTTTTTTTCTCAACTACACTGTTAACTTTTGGTCAGTGTTATTTAATTGGATTAATTCATGTTTCCTTCCTATGTTTCTGGCTACCTGCCTGACTACATGCCAGGTTTTCCAGAGCTGCTTGGAAATTGCACCAATATAAGTCACGTTTCAGGTGTTTTGAGTTGAATGGAGAATACACAAGTGACATTTTCAGTGTCTGTTTCCCTTACTGAAATGCAGTCTGATATCAAGCCTTTCACAGGAGAAATATTGAGAGGTCTGTGTTATAAAGCTGATGATATGAAAATGAGTTGCTACTACATCTTCTGTTCAACAGACAGTAGTTTAAACACAGAGCAAACATTTCATTCTACCTATTCTATTCTATTTTTCTTTCTGTCTGAGGAGATGAGGCACATTCCAGACACAAGACTCAACTGTTATAATGGGGAGTTCTGGAATGAGGAAGAAGCTTTTCTTCATCTCTGTGTTGAGTGTAATTTTATTTTATGAAAATTACTTCAGCATCAGAGTAATTTCTGGGGATGCAGCAACAGAAGGCCTTTATCATCATTTTTCCAAGAAGTACTGAAACCCATCATTCATTAAAAGTACTTGAAAAATAAGTGTGACATTTTATTTCATACAAACCCCACTGTTTTGGTTTCACAATTTGGCCAGAAAAAAATTAATTCCAAATCACATCAAAGGGATTTTTTTTTTCTCCCTTTCCATTTAACTGCTGCACTAAAATGCTGGATATTTGCACAATCTCCTTACAGTGTCTCTGACCTTTTCACCTACTGGAAACAGCTGTGTCACTAGTATGGTCACTGAACCTTTTTAAACCTAAGTTGGATTTGGCCTTTAGCTGCTAACTCTCAGTAGCTCAACTCCAACTGGTGGCCTAGTACAGGACCTCTACAAATCTCTTTCGATATGTTGAGCCTGTTAGACACAAAACTATTTGGAGGGCAGCTGCTTACCTTGTCTTCTCTTTCTAATGTTTTGTTGAGATAAATAGTAATGAAGACTGATTAATCCAATGGGATGTCCTGTTAATTTGGTTTCTTATAGATTTGTTTCAGGAAAGTTTTCCTTGTGTGCTTGTAAATTTTCAAATTGCTTTGTTGTTTTGACATTGGATATATATGAATCTCAGCATTGAACCTGATAGTTTTACATTCCAAAGTCAGATCCAGTTTTGCTCTGCTGTAATGTTGGTTTCCTTAGCACTGGCATTCCCAGTTCCCTCGTTACACTGACAATGAAGTGCTGGTTATCTACAGAGCCACATCAATGATAACAAGTAGGGGCTTTTTCGCTTTGCATTACTGCCATATTTAGACTGCCACAGGAACACGTGCAGTCTACAGCTGTCATGTTACAGTGACAAAGCAGGTTGCTGTAACAGAAGATGTCAGGGATCTTTGTGAATTCACTGTGCATCCAGGAACCCAGGAGGCTGATACAATGATTAGTCAAAACTGCACCTTGCTTCTCTTGCAGGAGAGGAAGATAAGGACTCATGTACTGTTGGTCTCTAGAAGAACTCTCTGAGAAAGCGGGACTACTTGAGGCCTTGGCACTGAGGCCAACCCTTGCACATGTAACCTCCCAGGAAACTTAAATATGAAGTCCCAAAGAGCAAACAGGACACTCTAACCAATATAAAATACAATGCAAAAAGTATTGGCAGGGCAGTCAAATGACAGCAAAGGCACCCGAGCTGTGTCAATATCAGCCGTTTGAGATAGCTCCAGGGACTGCTCTGGAAATCATGGCCCCAGGATGGTGGGAGGCAGACTTGAGGCCCACTGTCCTGGTGGATTGGTGTCTATGTTGGAGCTTGAGTTATGGGACAGCATTTTTAAGCTGGCAACATGGCAATTCTTTATACTTTTGGAGAGGGTCCCACCACCAAGTGGCCTCAAGGGTAGGACAAACCTTATCTAAGATAAAACATAATGTAAAAAATAGAGTCTGTAATATTTCTTATGGAGGATCAAAATTCTAAACCCCCTTTTTTTCCTAGGATGTGGGTTTTTTTAATTGCTTTTAATTTTCTTCATGTAAGTAGAATAGTAACAATCCCATTGAATTCTGCCTATCTGTACGTTCTGGCAATGGTTTGTGCAGAGCTTTCTTGCTTAAATGGCTTTTGTTTCAAATAGTGGGAGCCTGGCAATTTGAGTGGGTGCTCCCCATCTGCAATTCCTGTACCCAGTGTATCCCTGTGCACACACCTTCAAGGGCACCAAGTCCTGGCAGTCTGTCAAGAACACTTCTTAAAATTACTCCAGTGAGTTAAACAGACAATGTGGGCAGATGCAGTGGTATTCTCTAACAGGGGAAACCTTATCTCTGTAGGGCTGCTGATTTGGGAATTTGTGTGAAGGGATCTGGCTTTTTAACATATCAGGCTGTATTTATCTGGATCTTTTAATTTTTTTTCCATATTTTTTTACTAATTAGGAAAAAAAAAGCACAAAAAATGCACATTGTTTTATTCTGAGCCTAGTGCAGTTGGTTGGGACTGGACACTGCAGTCCTGGCACACAGCCCCATATGCATTACTCAGCAGGATATGGAGCTGACTGGACGAACCAGGCCTTGCATTCCTGGTGTCTTCCCATAACTGAGTAAGAAAAATGCCGACATCATCTGGGTCTCCTCAGGCTCTCAAGGCTCTCAGATCATCTCAGTTTCTCACTCTGTTTACAGCAAACTTTCTGGGAAATGTGCCCCTTGGATATGGTGGAAATCCTCCCAGAAGAGCAATAGTAAAGGGTTAATTTGAATTCCACATCCCATTATTCTGGTAGTACCAAAAATAAAGTTGTGTTAGTTCTCTTAACAGAGTTAAAAATTTGGTGCAGGAAAAATAAACAGAAAGATTAACCTCTGAAATATTTTTTCCACTTTCATTTTTGTAATATAGAACTAATTTGCTATCCTATCTGCTATGTATCCTGCTGCCAAACTAATCCTTTTTGTGTCCTACATTTTTATTAACCTTGCTGCTTATTACTGTAAGATTTTGTTTCTAAGACTCCTTTTAATTCAATTTACTACTGCACTGCTCTTTCTCTTGAATATAACTTTTCTGTAGTGTCTTTTAAGGATTCTTGACCTTTTCTAACCTGGGACATATTTATAGTAGCCTGATCTAGTTTTCCTAATAATTAGTGAACTTCCCAGCAGGATACATTCTTTTATCTTCTTCCTAATATGATTCAGGATACATCTCAATTTAAAGTGCCCATAGGATTTAAACCATTATGCTGGGATTTATTGTAGAAAAATCAAACTCCAGTAGAGTTTTCCCTAAGAATTTTCTTTGTCAGTTTGTACAGCACTGATCAGATAGCTTCTGTCAAAGTCCTTTCATTTTATTCATAACACCTTAGCATTGCTAATGTAAATATGTTTTAATTTTCCTTTAGCTAAATCATACATTTTAATTCCTAAAGTATTTAGATTTCTTTTGAGACTAGTCAAGGGAAGGAGCCCTTGTTCTTTACAGGTAATGAAATCACAGGAATAAATGTGTAAATAGTCATGAACATCAGGTTATCAGTGGTGTCTGTATAGGTATGCTCACCATGTCTAGAATGGTGTGAGTAAAGCTATCTGCTCTACAAATTTGACTGTGTGAGCATATTATTATGTTTGGAGGTGGTTAAATGCAGATGTAAATAGGTTAAAGTCTTTTAACAGGATTAATAAATTAATCTTGCACATGCAGTCCAGCCATAAATGATACACAGGTTGACGACAAAATGATATTAAAAAAATTTTGTTTAGACACATAGGAGTAAATAGAGTATTTTGTGCTGTCATGTGCACATGAGTGTGTGTACATGTATTCACAGATATACAGGGTATTTCTGGCCAGTGAGTTGTGGTTCCTAAGCTTGATTTAAAAACTGAATGAATTAATTATAATCCCACTCCCCTCCCCTAAAACAAATCTGAGGAATCAATCTAATCTACTTTACTAAATGAACATGTGAAAGTGATTATCTGGGATAAACCTGGGGGCTATACATACTTGTCTCTCTTTTTCCTTAAACAGAATGAAAATGCCCTTGTGAAAATAAAGGAGTTAGGAGTCGAGCTTGCAAAGATCAGGGATGAAGTCGGTAAGTAGTACAAGAAAAGTAACAACAAAGTGATTTTCTCACTTTACACAAAATCAGTTATTACTGTTATTGGTGACCTGATCCTGGGGAACCTGCATGTGTATGATGAAGTGTCTTCTGAAGCCTACTGGCCAGGGATTTTGTGGCTTTGCAAGGAACCGTGATTTTCTCTCTTTGCTGTGGAGATTTGACCATTACCACACATGCTGGAGCTAGTTGTGCATCATCTTTCCTAGAGAAAATGTTCTTCATAAATCCATAACTTCCATTCTCAAACATCACTGCCAAGGAGAAAGCATAATGATGAAAAGTGGGAAGATGAGACTGTTGCAGTGCGTGGTGGCTAGGAATGCATCTCTTAATTATGAGCATTTGCATGTTTTGCAGTTCAGATACAAACTGAAGGACACCAAGCTCCGAACTCGCTTATTAATATCTCTAAGGTCTCTTCCTGGTGTAGACAGGAAGAACAACGCATCCTGTTTGATCTGCGTATTCCCTGTGTATCTGCATGCATCACTTTTCCATTTGGTTTCTGATCTAGGCAGAGGAGACAGGGAGAGTGTAAAGATATCACAACTCCTGAGAGAGAAGGTGGACTTTTGCTCTGGCTTCAGTTAACAGGCTGAGTTCTTTTGGGCTTAAATCTCCCCAGAATGAGTGTGATTTAGGGTTCATTTACCCCAGGGCAAATGGAGAGGAGGACCACTGGGCAGGGGACACCCTGGGTATCAAAAGGTGTTGGAATGACAGATGACTGGAGTTATGAATAAGGGGGACTTCTCAGCTTTCCCTGCATGTGGGAGCCCAGTTGCTGGGTCATGAAGTAAACACAGATTGTGCCGAGTGGCCAGAGGGAGACTTGACTGGCAAAGGAAGGCTCAGGCCAAACCCCTGTGAGATGGGCAGAACTGCAGATCCTCCCTATGCTTCATCTTCACCTTGCCTAAGACAACCCACTTCAGAAAAGCTGAACACAGCCCTTTTCTGAAGCCCATCAACTTGTGCTCCCTGATGTACCCCTCTGAAATTATTTGGCTGATTTTCATTTCATGGTGAGCTTTATTGTCCCCATGGCAAACATATACCGCAGGAATGGCAGAATAGCATTTGCAGTTATTCCCTGATGCCTGCCTTCCTCCATCCTCTGACCTCCACAGCTCTCAAAGAGGAATTGTTGCCACTTTTGGTTGGTACATTGTTTAGGGAGGGCATATCTGAAGCTCTTTGTTCAATATCCACTTCTCATTTGAAAGCCCTATCTCAATCTAGCAGGGTGGGTTTGCTCATTTTCATGACTGTTTTTTCAAGTGGCAGTGACATGGGAAGGAAAGAAAGGTTCAGTGCTGGAGATGAAGAGTTCTGCTTCCATTTACACCATGTTTGTACAGTTGAAGTGAATACAAATCCCTGGTGGCTTTGCTGGAGAACGTTGCCAAGGATATAAGTAAGTGCCTGCCTGTTTGGGGGTCACAGAGTAGGATGTTCAGTAACAGGAGATCACGGCACTGCCTGCCCTTGCTATTGTCCTTGCACATGCAGCAATAGACACCTCCTCTGCTGAGAACTGGGTTATGATGGCAAATGTGGAGACAGGTTTGCTAAGAACACCAGATACTCCAGAAGAGCAGGCTGAGCTGTACTGCTTCAGAAGGGAGATAAGCTGTAGACATGTATGGGCTTTCTTTCTCAGAAAGGGGAAAGGTGGTGTGAGATAGTCCTTTTCTCAGTGGTCCTGTGGGCATGTGTAGTGGAGAGGAGCCATTACAGGCCACCTCTTCCTGAGCAAGCCACCACTCTGGGAGACACCAAGATGCTGAGCAGAGGCTGTTCAGGAGTGACACAGGTGGCTGGTCATTTGCTTGGTGAAGGTAGTCTTCTCTGTACAACAGATGCAACATGAGATGCAACATAGCCAGGACTCCCAGTAGCAATGAACAAAAAAGTGAACATGTTCAGGTATTGCAGTTCAGCAGAATGCGAAAAAATTAATCAGCAGCACAAATCCTAGTATGCGTCCATAAATATGGAAGATCAAGGTCTATGTTTTTAGTGAAAGTCAAAAATTGCTGGACAATCTCTTTTCCTTTGGTATGAAATTATAAAATTTAGTTCTGTGAAACAACCAGTGTTTTAAATCTTTGGAAAAGGCGAAAGGCAAATGCCATGTGCATGAGAGCTTTTCTTATCAGTGCACTTCTTTGCTATCTCTAAAGCAGTTCAGGCTGTGGGTGTTACTGGAGACATGCAGCCTCCCTGTGCTACAGGAGGGTTATTTTGCTCTCACTGTCAGATGAATTATAGGTAATTCTATGAAGAAATTTAGGGCAAATCTACAGAGCATGTTAGGCAACTAAGTTGTATTCTGACTTGTCCCAGTCACCTTGATAAGTAGTCACTCATTAATTTAAAAATAACCAGTCCAGTTAAACAGCATGGGTGTTGGTCAGAAATTCCTGATTTCTCATGTGTAAATTCACCATGTCAGACTCACTTATGCAAATGTCTTAATGAATCAGTGAAACAAGGCTGGATTAGCCAGAGTTGATACAGGCAGTGTGTCCAACATTTAGTTATTTAGGCAATAGCTGTAATTCAGTTACAATTTAGGTGCTGAAGTGCTTGGTTTTGAAAGCACACAGTCTTTGTTAACTTCAGCAGAAACTGCAGGATTCTGCTAAACAAAGCAATGAAGCTGCAAGAGAGAATACACTGTTCAGAAAAGTCAGAATGTAAGTTTAAGGAAAATTCTTTTGGTAAATAAAACCACTGTTGAAGCAATAGCAGTGATAGAGCATATGTAAAATAGCTTAGGAAGACCTGCATCCTTCTGGAGCCAAGCAAAATATTTAGGTTCAGACAGTGTCCACTTTTACCCCCAGCACTGCTGTGAATGTATCACACCTCGTCTGAAACCAGCATGGGTGAAATAGTAAAGTGATTCTCCCTCCCCACTCCTGGGGAGGAATATGGCCTCTGTAAACACTGAGGGACTTGTTATTTTAAGCAATAAGATTTGCTCATGTATTTTGCCAGAAATAGTAAGGCTAGAAAAACATGAGAAGCAGTCATTCTACACTCAAGACACTGATCTTTATAAATTATAAATATAAGCACTTTTCAGCTGCAACACTGAGTCTCTTGAAATAAAGAGGTTTTGAAGATGGGCTATTTCCCTTCAAACCAATTGAAATTAAATGTCAGAATTACCTGCTTCTTTGCTGCAGACCAATGGCATGTGAAGCAAGTTGAGAGGAGTTACGAAGATGCATTTAAAAACTAGATGAAGAGAAGACAATCTGTTGTCAAGTTTAAAATTTGTATTATCTGTGTTCTTGAGAATTTGGAAGCCAAAGCCTATGTGCCATTTCGTCCTGGATATGACTCCCAGTCAGAGGACCCATAACTTGAGTGTGGTGGCTGTGGTTTTGTCTGTGAATCTGGGGTCAAGGGTCAGGAAGAAGAGAAGAGTCTAAGTGGAAAAGAGCCCACTTCTTATGTCAGAAGCAAACAGTCCCTCTGTGGGGCCCAGGACACCAGCCCCCCAGTTCCCTCAAGATTTTCCCTCCTGAATAGGAGGTTGGGCTGTGGCTCAGACTCTGTGTGTGGGGGGGTGTCAGTCTGGTAGTAACATCCACTTTTCCCTCACCCTCCCAGCCCATCCTGAAATGGGTTTTGCTCATCTGTTGCACACTGTAAAAGCCACTTGGTGCTCAGGGAGTAAGGAGGCAACTGTAGCTAGTCTCATTTAACCCAGCCCACTGACATCCTAGGAAATATCAGAGTCATTTCCAGCCTGTAAGCAGCAATGGAAATACCCAGAAAGAAGGAGAAAGACAACCAGGGTTTAATTCTTCATGATAGCAACCAATCACAGTTTTGCTCTCCTTGTCTTGTTCCATGTCAGTAATAGATTCATATAACTTTTCTTAGTGATTTCTTCTTTCTCTACAAGAGTGACTCACTTTAGCAGTATCCCAATCCTGATGCCTGAAATTCACTGTTTTACAGCAACATTAGCCAGTCTTCTGTTCAGGCATCTGTTTTGGGGTCCTTGCTGGTGGCGATGCAGCTGTTTCACCAGAACCACACACTGACACCACAGCAGATTCAATGCCAGCTCCAGCAGGGTGTGCTCTCCCATTTTGGTTCCTGCTCCCTAGGAGGGTAGGAGAGCTGCAGAGCTTTGGGCTGCATGGGTTTTGCCACCTTCTATGCTGTTCCAGTAAAGCCACGCCCAAAGGTCCATCTCCTTACTAAAAAGAGATTCAGTTTTTCCTCACCCCTTCGGTCCTCGGCCTCATTTGTCTTAGTCTGTCTGTCTACTTATGGTAGGGATCGTTCCTTCACATTGGAGGTATTTTATATTCAGTATTAGGCAAATTTCCTGGGCAATGGCCCCGTCTTCTGCCTCCAATAGCATTGTTGGGTGAATGGGGAATATGCCATGCAAGCGCACTTTCCCTGCTTTTCTCTTCCCTCCATTTTGCAGCTGCATCAGGGTTTGATTTGTGAATAGTTTTGTGTTTCAGGTTACAGGAAGTGTTTCAGATGGACTTTCTTTTGGTTAGAGCGTGTTATTTCATTGCCCAACCCTTCCTATGTGCTGGGTAATCTCATCAGAGAGGCTGGAGAGGGCTGGGGTTCATTACAGCTCCAATTTAAAGCTTGAGTAAGTTTGAATTCTACTGAAGGCATAACTGCAAGCATAACCCCTCCTGCTCTGGGATCCCTTTACATGCCAAAGAAAATAAAAAAGCAAAAGAGAGGGTTTAGAGCTATAATCCACACTGCCAGGAGACAAGACATTCCAGCTAATGACCATATAAAATACAAATTGTGCCATTTCATTTTCAGTATGAGGCAGATGGGAAAGCTTTTTATGGGCTGCCACTGAGGTGCTAAGATCACTGGTTCACTCTTTTTCTGTAAGGAGCAGAGAGCTTGAAAGGGACACAAAGTTCCTCATAGTACTCCAGAAAACATCAGGATCAGAACAGGACCCCGTAGTGTTTATCTGTCTGGACATACTGAGCAAGTCTGGATATTGGTGTCCAGTAAGTGTGGAAGCAGAGCTCTAAACAGGGTGAAAAATAGCTATGTGGGAAAGGAAATGGTTAGTTTGGGTGCCCAGACTATCCTTGCATGGGTGCACTCAACATGAACTGTGGGGACAGCAGTGGTAACTTGGACAAATTGTTGCTATCCTGGAAAAAATGAGCACAGTCTGACACCATGGTAGAAAGAGACAGAAAAACATGAGGGGTGCCAGATATTGAGCAAATATATGGTCATAGGATAAATATGGTTTTGAAGCACTCAGCAGGGAGACAGCTGCTTCCAGTCCTCTTGTTTACAATGCCACACAGGTCTGTGCATGGCACGTGCATTTTGAAAGGCAAAGGAAGGATAACTATACAGATAGTTTGTTCAAAAGCTGATGATCTTTCTAAATCAGCTACGAGTCTAAACCAGAAAGAAGCTCTAGAAACCGACCTTTCCTTCTCTAGTGTTCTGAACATTGTGCTCATGATGATTTTAATCACTGCTTGGCTGTTGGATCTTTACAAGTGAGCAAATTTGCTCTCTAAATGTGGTCTGGCTGATCTTGTCCAACTTGCATCAGGTCTTCAGTATCTGGATTTGTTGCAATTGTTCTTTAGCAAAGCAAAAAGGCCGAGAACAGAGTGTTTGTGACACAGCTTTCCTTGGACCCTGGAAACAATACAGGTGAGGAACCAGATGGGGAAATGGACTGATTATCTTTGCCTCGATGGAACTGTTAGAAAACAGTTGTAGACATGGTTGTAAATTCTGAGACATGATCACTAGGTTAGTTCACTAGAGTAACAATTTCATATTTTCTGATTTTCTTCAGTATCAGCCTTTCACTTGTGCTCTCTGATTCCATTAAGCACACAAGAGAGTGGTTTGAATATAAAAGTATTTTAAGCAAGTGTGCATTAATCCTTGCTGGAGCTGGTACAAAAGACAGGTTTATGGGGTTAGCAGCTTTTAACAGCTAGAAAATGGGAAGTGTGAGATGCAATCCCTCTCCTGGTCAAGTCATCAATTATACTCCTTGCATAACATGTGCACAGGGTCTCAAGAGCCCAGGCAGCTTCTGCCTTCACTGGAAGTGGGGACTTAGCCAAGACTGTGTCTTCAGAGAAGAAAATAAGAAAAATCTTCTATCCCGGTTGAAAGGCTTTGTGTCAAGGGACTGTCTCACATGCTGTTTCTTATATCCAAGGCCAAGTAAAATGCCCAAAGCCTCAGTTTGTGGATCCAAGACTGTGCTGGCCAGGAGGGGACAACCAGTCACCCTGCACGTCCACAGAGTTCCGTGTTTTATTTATTATTAATGTTATTGTTGTTATTATTTTTCGATTCCAGTTTTGCATGGGCTTTTGCATACTCTGACAGTGCCTGTATTGAAACAAATGCCTGTGTGTATGTGTGTGAGAGAGAGTGGGACAGAGAGAAGTGGCAGAGAGAACTTGTTGCTGGCTGAGATTCATGGAAGTCCTGGAATCAGTGAGAACCACTGTGCTCAGGGATGTACACACAGGTCCAATTCCACTGTTTGGCCCAGAGCAGTTCAGAGTCTGACTCCATGGTCTTGTCTCCACAGCCCTCAACACGGCAAGATGGAAGAAACTACTGAGTGAGAAGGAGGAGCTGGAGAGGCGCTTCGAGGAGGAGGGGAAGCAGCTCTGCAGGCAGCAGCAGGAGGAGATGCAGGCCCTGGAGCAGCGGCTGCAGGAGGAGTACAGCACTAAGAGGGAGAGCCTGCAGGAGCAGCACAGGCTGCAGCTGGAGCAAGCCAAATTGCAGCATCAGGATCAGGTCAGTCTCCATCTATGGCCTTTGAAGAGCAGTCCGTGCCGGTACTGTGAGGGTTCAGGTAATGAAATATATTGAACATTCCAACAGGAAGGCACTGGTAATGAATTGATGGCTGGAAAAATGTATTCATGACTATCTTCACTGCTGTTTCTCCCTATTAGTTCTGCTATTATTTCTACAGAGTTGTCTGTTACATTGCTATGTCTTGTCTTCACATGCTTCCCGATGTTTTACAGTAAAAGTACTAAGAGTAGCTCAGCTGCACACACAGACTTGCTCCTCAACCCACCTATTTTAATCAACTGATATGAAACCAAGGCTTAATAAGAACCTGCTCAACACAGTTAAGGCCAGCAGAACCATGCCCATTATTATTTGAAATGCTAGTTAAAGGGCAGTACAGTGAAGTGATAGCACCCATGCAACACATGCAGCATAAACATCAAGCACATGATGCACTCCAGGTCCCCTGATTTCTGCTCCACCATCCAGTCTAATCTCTTGGGCTGTATGTCACAAGTGCTCCTCCTTGCTTTTCTTATGTATCTAGGTAGGAATACTCTCATAAGCAGCTGCTTCTGTCTTATTTTTTAACAGCTGAGGTGAACAACACTGTAACTCACCTATGGGCACCTCTCATATAGTGGCAGAATATCCTGGCCTGGATTATGTCAATATGCCTTTACCTGGCCTTATCTCATTTTATCCCCAATAAGCACTGGATACAGATCTGATTTTTCCAGATGCAACTCTCATCCACTACCCAACTCCACAGGTACTATCAAATAGCTTTTCATGTCCTAAACCAGATTTTTCAAAATATTCATCTGTAAATGGTTAGAACATGTGCTGGGCCATGTCTTTTTGTCCTCATTTTCATTTATGCAAGGCCTCTACATTGTCTGCTTTTCTTTCTGATATGAAAGAGGGATCATGTTCCCAAAAGTCTTGACAGTTTTTTCCTTTCACTATGTCACTGTGTCCGTCTGCCTGGTAGAAGATATGGGCTCTAGCTGCAAGGCTTAGCTCTCCTGAAACACCAGACATCAGCATTTGTGAAGGAATTTGCTCTGAGAGTTAATTTTTTGCTGAAATAGTTTACAGCTTAGCTCTGCTACTCTTTGAAGAGTTTCTGCAAGCTCAGAGGACCACAAGAACAGATCTTGGTTCTTCTCCTCTCAAGCTAATCGGTGCAAGAAAGGGTTCTACAAGTCATTGTAGAACTTGACTAGAAGTATGCTTATTTTTCTCATTTCCTCTACTGTGACTCTATACATCCTCACACAGAAGAGGTAGAAAGGCATCTTTCCCTCTGTGGGGCAAACAGTTCTCTGTCCTCCAGCTCTTTGATTTGCTCCAGAGCTCTGTGTCCCCTGATTACTGAAGATAACACAAACATTCCTCTCCAGTGCTTTGAAAGTGCTACCGTGACCCTAGCATCTCAGAGTTTTACCCCATATTTTCAATTCATAGTTCGAGCTACCATTATGAGTTTTATCAGGTTTTGCCTTTGAATTCCTACTCCATCGTAGACCCATCCTGTGTTGAGTGCTCTTGGATCAGAGGAGGCTGACAGGCCATGTTGGAAAGCTGCTCACCAATGTTTCTTGGCTAAGAAAATGTAACTCTTACACTGTACATGAGAAAAACCTTGTCCTTGAACTGTCCCTCTGCATGGCGGGGTTTGAATTTGCATTCATGAAGGCAATAACTATAGCAAAATCATTTTGTCCATGAATCTGCATGTATTTATGTATTCATGCATCTAATTTGGAAGATAGTCATCCCACTTTCATGGTTTCCAGTCACAACTTAATCTTCCATGCTGTATTGCTGTAGTGACCGCTTAGTTCACTACCAGGTAGCTGTTGTTTCTTTGGATACACAGCTGTCAGGTTTGGGAGGTTCAGCTAAGGAGGTAGCAGAGCACTGAGAGCCAAACTCCTCACAAATTGATGATGTATGCCAGTACATTCTCATATCTCCTTGTAACTAAGAGCAAAATTGCAGAGTAAAGGCTGCGATCTGGCTAGTCATTGTTTCTTGCTTGAGCTGCTCAAATCAAGCTGTTTTGCCCAGCGACTTATGAACTTCTCCCACTAGATCCTCCTCTTGATTTTACTGTATTAAGGCTTAAAAATCCCACCTGAGGTACCTTTATAGCCAGAAATAAACATGACTTGTATTGTGTTGATCACACCTATAGAGTAATTTAGTGGTGAAATTGGAATTAGCACCCAAGAGATCTGCTTTCCAGTGCCAAGTTGACTATCTGCCATGAAAAATTGCAGACCAGAGGTCATGCTGGAAGGATTAAAAAGAGTCATTTGGGATGTGGATATGAAACACACAGAAGACAGAAAAATCCCTACAGATCATTTGGGAAATATTTAATTGACTTTATAGATAAATAACCTGCCAAGGATGGTGGCAGCGAGAGGAGACCTCTTCACCTTCTGAAGTGGTTGGAGTTGAGCATAATCATTCCTATATGGTGCTCCTTAGCTGAGAAGCAATTAGAGTATGAATAAAGACTTAAGCAAGGGTGAGGTAAAGAACGTGGCAATGCTCATGAGGTTTCATCTTACAGACATCACATTCAGGGACATGGTGCTCTGGGAAAAGTCAGGTGATAGTTCTTGTTTCATTAGTAGCCCATTGAGTCATCTACCCCTCCACACACCTTTCTTGCTCTGTCATGCAATATATCAGCAGGCTGAGTCCCAATTATTTTGTGAACAGTTCTTCACCACTGAGTCATCTCCCTTGTTACTATGAAAATTAGTTTGGATAATTTTAAATTCCATGTTAAATGCCTAAATCTCATTCTAAGAGCATGCTTTCTCCAGTATGGTTGGAAATTTTGCTTCTGTTGGGTTACCTAGCACATGTTTGACAGTTAAAAGCAGTGAAATAACATTTATTCCAGTCAAGGCAAACTCAGCTGCAGTAACTTTCTACCATTATTTAACACACCTGTGAACAAAGAAAGGTTTGAGTCAAGGCACTTTGCAGTGAACAGCCATTTAATTGTAAAAAGGGAAATAGTCTGATCCTCTGCCTTGCCGGATATTACAGATACTATTGTATCAAATGTAGGGAATAAGACCACTGAGGTTACAAACCCCAGAAAAGCAAATCAATGCATTGCCTTCAGAAACTGCTCTGGACCACTGATCACCACTTAACCTTGATCACCACTTCTCATTGTATTTTCTTTAATGATGTATATCAAGGGACCATCATTAGGGATCTTGCTTTGCCTTTAGCCAAGCCTAGTAACAAACAACATACTGAAGGAGTCACAAACCCACTGGGTGCACTGGAACACAGGCTGCCCACAGCCCTCTTCCAGCTGCACTCCTCACTTCCATGACGGCTGTGGGTTGTGTGGTCATTAATATAATTTAGATTAATACAATGTTGAGATTTCTGAGTATTTAATAAATGCCATCTCTACCTAAAGATTTTTTGACCTTTTGCTTTCTTATGTACATCTTTATCACCATTAACCTAAAACAACAAAAATACTATGCCAAGGCATCAGCATACCTGTTTTGTAGTGAATAAAAGTGGCTCAGGTGCTGGAAGTGTCATGTTCAGTAGATCCCTTCACTGGAGCTCTCTAGCAGTGGCTTGTCAGTGTGCCACAGCGTGTCTAATCATATGTCCATGTCTCCACTCACTGTTGTTGAAACAGGTGGAAGATATCACAGCTGTACATGAAGCTGCAATGTTACAGTTGGAAAATAACCACATAGTTGCCATTACGGTACTGCAGGATGAGAATGACTGCAAGATTCAAGGTAAGCCAGAGATAACCCAACAGCTACGCAGCTATTCCAGAGCGGGAATTAATGCTGTAGTGACACTGTGTAAGCCTGGATTTTCTTCCTCCAGAGCAGATGATACAGAAAATTTGTGTTGGTCTAGTGCTTTCACGTGGGGTGGACTGTTAGGTTCATGCCAAGGCAGAGGGAGAGCTGTCTGCAGTGTGTACAGCATCTAACTTTGACCTGAGATTATCTGAGGGGGGTCTCTGGGTCAAAGATAAGACCTTCTCCATGCACTGCTGAAAATAGAGTCCAAATTCCACCTCACTTCACACACATGCTTTTCTCAAGAGGCTAATCCTAGGGTATTCAGAAGGCTAGAGCTCACTGGATATCTCTGAATTTAGGTGCTTAAATGCCCACACTGCTTCTAAAAACAAGACTCATCATTTTCAGCAGCAAACGTCTGGCCATGCTGAGCAGACCAAAGCCACACACTCATCCAAATCTGCACCTCAGCATTGTTATCTTTATTCTGTGTTACAGTTTTGGCACGGGACTGATGCTGCAGACAGTTTCCTGTTTCCTCCCTACCAGTTCAGTCTCTTAACATGTCTTTGTGAATGCTTTAGCTGACATTGTACAGTTATCTGTACAATCTCCCTCTTTTTTTTTTTTTTTTTTTTTAAGGTTTGCTTTTTAAATAGCTCTAGTAGGTTTTCCCACATTTTCCAAACCAAGCCATATTGCTTAGCTCTGCATTGTGTCAATTAGAGACACAGTCCAGAGCATAACATGAACTGAGAACAGTCTGTTCCCCTCTCCCATAGACAGAGAGGGTATCTAGCATGCCATCTGTAAATTAACATATGCAATTTTGAAAATAATAAAGTAAAAAGCTGTTTATTGCTTGAGGATATTCTTATCTGTCCAGTTTTGTTGGTATTTTTTGATGATAAAATTTAGTTGTGGTTTATCAAGGCTCTGGTGGCCAAAGTTTGTGCTCCCTGATCCTGGTGTGGGTATGAAATGCCCTCCTGTGCCTGAAAAAGGCACTGCAGCAGCTGCGGGATAGTGCTCTGTGCAAGACACTGGAGCGCTGGTATCGCTGCTCTTACTGTGATCAGGGATTAGAGGGCAGAACGCTGTGGGCTTGGGGTTGAAAACACGGCAATTACAGTGTCTGTATACTAAAAAGGTAGGTACTCCTACTGCACTGAATGACATTTTGATGCCATTGCTTTAGAGATTAAACTTTATTTCACTTTGCTTATTCAACTTCTCGTTATTTGCAAGTCCAGGGTGAGTTATTCTGGTGGAGAAACCTTTAATGTTGTTTTTTGTCATCTCTGTCAGTCTCACTACTGGAATAAACCTCAAAGCTCATCTGCCATGACTTTGGGGAGAAGCACTGTCATTTGCATTTTGGCACCTGAGGTGTTGGCCCTCCTCTCTATCTTCCCAAAGAAATTGCAAGCCAAGATTTTAAATATATATAATTTAAGAATCTTTGATCTGGGGATACTCACTGTGCGTTAGTAAATGACCCATTGGCAGACTGACCTTTTCAGAGTACCTGGGAGCTGGGACTTTTGACCAGTTCTGAAATCACTGAATGACCAGAATCTATTCACATAAAAACAGAGGTATCTGCAAGCAGTGCAAGATCAGGAAATCCTGATCTTCAAAACAACTCACCTAAGGTCACAGATTATATTACTAGCAGTTTCCTACTTCACCTCCATGTCCTAAAACTGCATCCCTAATTGCACTTGCCTCAAGATTTTTGTGTTCTGGTTTGACAGACTTCACTTAGTCTGTCAGTATTTACGTATATTACTCATTCACTTATATTACTGTATTATTCACTTCATCTGTCAATATTCACTCAGTAATATCATGTCTGTGTAATTTCCACAGAACTGAATACTGCTCACAAACTGGAAAAGGCACAACTAGAAGAGACTTTCGAAAAACTGCGGCTGTCACTCCAGGTTAGCAGTTTCTTTGTTTCCCACCCCTGTAATGATGTTGCAGAGCAGCTGATGGGGCAGCCCCAGCCCCTTTGCCAGCTGCCAGCACACCAGGCTCTTGCTTCTTACCCGCTATAGCACCTCCTGTCCTCTGCCTGTCCAAACTGGGATCTACCAGCAAACCCTCAGGATTTTTCCTTCACCTTGGGTGGTTCAGGAGAGAGGGAAAACCTAAAGTGGCAAAAGGGCATCTGGATAAAACAATAAATGTTCTTTTGACCCTGATGGCAAATTTGAGCTCTTCCCTGCTTGGTGGGACAGGCTCTGGCATCTGTGGTGGCTGTGAGCATCACCTTGTCTACATGGTACCCTCAAGCAGGCACCCCCAGGGCTCAGAAACGCTGACCCCTCCTTGGCCAGCCCTGCACCTGTGCTTTAAACTCTTCCCTGCTGCCCAAAAGTGGGAAAGGCGGTCCCATGCTGTAGACACATCTCCAGTCCCACTGGAGGGCAATGTGGTTCCTGATGGGGATTGCCCAGGGTTGGCCCTGCTGTGCAGCTAGTCTATGGCCAGCCAGGGTCAGCCCTGCACATCACATCTCCCACATCCCACTATTTAACACCAGGCTCTCAAGGTGAAGAAATTCCAAGGAGTGGAGGGCAGAAGTAATGCCCGTGATACATGCTAAGTTTGAAATTCTTGTGTAAACAAGTAAAGATGCCACAGCAAATAATGCAAGTCCTGTTTGATTTCACAGGCAGAGATGAATTGCAGTTTTAAACCCTCTAACTAGCACATATTTTTGCACTGCTGCAATCGCTTGAGGTGTGTCAGCAGTTTTGCAATAAGCGCTGATGTAATTTTTCAGCCAAGAAATCACAACTGTGAAAAATAAGACACAAATTTCACAGCAACTACAGATTTTACAGGTGTTGTATAGACAAGGGTACAGAAATGCCTTTGATAGTAACAGAAATACGATTGCTTAAAATAACGTGTTGTTCCGGTGTACAGCTCCGAGATGAAATGACAATCATTTAAAATCCACACCACGAATTTATCATTTCTTGTTACCATGTTTGAAGCTTAGAAAGGTGAAGGAAGCAGAGGTGGGGTGTCTACTGCCTCATTCAGACTTTAAGGATTGCACAATCATCCATGTGATATACATGCCAGCTCTCCTAAGGAAGAACATGTTCGTTTTCATCCAGCACAAGGTGATGGGATGATTTAGGATCAGCCACAGGTGTCGCAAGGATTTTGTGATTCTCTGAGGCTTGCAAACACTCCATTGTATGTTCAAGTGTACTTACATAAAAAAATACCTCTTTGCTGAGGTTTTTAAACCTTGTTCAGCTTTCCTGGTAGTTTCACAGTGCAGACTGACTTGTATGAAGATCAATAACACATTTGATGTATTAATTTGTATGTCTCCCCTCCAGGACCAGATAGACACCCTCACCTTCCAGAATCAATCTCTTAAGGCCAAAGCAGACCGATTTGAAGAGGCTCTGAAGAAAAACACTGAGGAACAACTGAAGGTAGGTGACAACTCTAACTATACAGTCATCAAGATACATGTTTCTGAATATGACTCACATCACATCATTCAATGAATAGCAATGGGATCCTCACCCCAGGGATGGGGTGGCAGGTCTCAACTGAGACTCCAAATATTGAGCTCTGGGGAAGAGTCAGAAATCTTAGCCTAGATCCATCATTTTCTGATTTATCTTCTTTTTCTTTATTTTTTCACCCATCATTTGTAGCTCTGCTTCCAAAACATTTCATTAACTCTATCTAGTGTATCCTTTCTGCTGTCTATTCTTCTTTCCCTTTTTCATCTCTTTCTTTTTTTCCTCTTTATCTTTTCACATTTACCTTTTTTCCTTTTGCCTTCTGAACCAACTTCTTTGATATTCCTTCTATTCTTTCTTTTTTTTTTTTTTCTGGATTTGCAGGGGACAGCCCTGTCATATGAAATATTTATTCAACTGCTACCTACTGCGTCCATGCTGTTTATTTACAGTGTGTAAGTAAACACACACTGCAATTATTTATGTGAAATGAAATAACCCTGAAATGACCCTCCAAAAAGAGTTTCCTTTCAGCTTGGGGCATTTCAGGGTGTTCATAGCACAATCTCATGGGCAGCTGTATCAACATGACAGAGAGGACATAATGAAAATAGTGGGGTGTGCAAAGGTCTCAGTGAATTTTTAGGTGAGAGAACTCCTTAGAAAAGAAGCATAAATGTCTGAAACAGGCTTGGCCATGGGAAACAGATAGCATCAGTCCCTTTCTGCCTCCACTGCAGTATTTAATTTACATGCAAGAACAAATTCTGCTGTGTCACAGTGTTGTTAATGCCAAGTACCACCAGGCAGTTCACTGGAGTGAGTTACACAGGGAAAAATCCAGAGCAGTGAAAGTCAGGGACAGTATTTCATCAGTATAATTCAGAGCACAAATATTGTCCATGAGCTGAACACTAGTAATCCCCTGTATCCCTACATCCCCTACATCCCTTCTGAAGTTCTTGAGCAGAGGGGAACTTTTTCCCATCAGATCTGACCTTTGCTAACAGGCACTATGATGCATTGGTGCAGGCAAGGCAGAACACTGTAGTTTTCACCTCCACCCCACTTGTCCAGTTTCATCAGTTTCATATTTGTCCTTTTCCCAAGCCAAAATCCCTGCAGAAGCATAACACACCTCATGTGGTTGCCAAGCTATGATTAGGAATGGGATTGCTGAACAACCTGGCATCCCATCCTTCTATCCATGGGGCTGGTCAAAAACAGGGTATTGTTGGCTACTCAGCCAAAGGGGTGTCAAGGGAGACAATATCATAGTGTTCTGGTGTGCTGCCAGAAGACCAGAGGTCCAGGTGGTTTTCACACCGCTAAGACTCCTAAACCAGGGCGTACATAAAGGAATTTTTCAGCTTATAGCTGAAGATGCACTTATGGCTGACATATCCAAATCACTGATATATTTCCTAGATTGTGCGAGCTCCATATCTGCACTTAGAAAAAGATTTGAAGAGCTTAAAACATGTTCTGGAAATGAAGAACTTCCAGATTCACCAACAGGAGAAGATGATTATGGAGCTGGAAAAACAGGTGAGTTATCATTCTTCCTACAGAGAAGACATCATAGAGGTAATAAAGTAAAAGTTTGGTTGCAGCAGATGAACTTAGAAAGGGTGAGTAAACACAGGAGGTTGGGGCAAGATGCAGTCAAAGAGTTTCACATCATTGATCTCTTCTGGGTTTTTTCAGTCAATACCTGCTCAGCCTGTTAGGTTAGACAATGAGGCGAGTGGTACAGGAAGAATGGAGGAAGGGAAACTTTGTGGTAGCCCAGGGCCTGCCTCATAAGCCCCTACAGGAGTCAGGTAGCCATTTAGGATCGGGGAGGGCATGTGGGGGAAGATTGAGCCATGGTGTTTCTTGCTGCTGCTTATGCAGGCACTTAGGGAGCTATGTATGAATTAGCAATATTCAGCAAGTAACCCCTAGCAAGGCTTACTCTTGGAAAGGTCTCTCCAACACTCCAGTAATGCTTTTCTTCAGCCTACACTGTTTTCTTATCCTTTGCCTGTGATAATCCCTAACAAAGGACTCCCCAGTTCACTATCAATTACATTTTTTATTGGAAAGGCGATTCATTTTATGAATAACCTGCAGTGACAGTAAAAGTGCAGTATGGTGACAACATGAGGCAATACCTCAGCTGGGAGCTGGGGCAGCTGGCTCAGCACAGCATTCAGCAAGATTTGCTTCCATTTACAGGGAAATTTGAGAACTCTGATGATTATTTTGCTGAACAGATGCTTGAGTAAATGGATGTAGAGAAAAGTGCCTCTTTACAACTAAGGCTTGTTATCTGCGCTCCTTCCAATGCGCTGCTCCTGGAACTAAGCCAGCATCTGCAAGCATGCACTGTAGGGTTATACTGGGGAAAAAAAGAGTCCCAAACAACAGCCTGTAATAGTTCCTCATCATTCAACTGCTTTTGCTAATTAACCACATACAAGCACACAGTCCTATTCTTGCCCTTTATCACAGTAAAACACTGTGTCTGCTGTGGTCCAAAGGCACAACTGTTTTCTGTTTAAAGATATACCCTTGTAAGTACCAGAACATCTACATGGCATCTCCAAATGCTCTGAAAGAAAAGGTGTCTCATGAGGGAGCAAGAGGGTATTCAAATACACGGTCAGGCTTGGCTCCTTGGCTGCTGAAAGGGAGACTGGAAATGAAGGTGGCATAGGTACTAACTTAGGAAAACTATTGAGGAAGCAGAGAGGGTGCCCATGACAGTGATTTCTCTCTCAGAGCCAGAAAACAGGGCCAGAATCCACGTTCTGTCCTAACAAAATACACTGGACCAGGCCAGAATATCTGAGAATCAGGAGTATCCTTTGCAATTACCTGCATAGACTGGAAAACACTACATAAAACTGACATGTCCCCCATTAAGTGAGAGTTATTGCTAACTTCAGTGCACAGTATTTTGGGTCTTTATAAAAGGTTGTGAAATTCAATAACTGAGCTCACACAGAGATAAGGTTACTCTGTGATATCTTGTTTTCTTTCAAAGTTGTTGAATTCAGCAAAATTCAAACTGCTGGAAAACCAAGAACTAAGGTGATAAAGTATGTCAAATTCAAAGCTTGGGAAAAACAGGGCACCTGAGGCTATGGAACATGCCTATAAACATCTTACTGATGTTCTCATACACTGTTATTGATATCCTCAAACTCTGTCCTTGAACTGTCCTGAATAAAAGCTACCTGTGCTTGGGATAGGATTCATTTTAATTAATTACAGATTAAAGTTAAATGTCTGGTTTAAACTGGTTATTCAAGTTGACATTGTCAGCAATAATGAGAAGAGTCTCCAAAGGGCAGCACTCCTCATGTGAATGCAGCAGCAGTCTAAGGCTGCTGCTGGGCATCATCTGCCCTGGTGGCTGATGTCATTCCTCCCCACAACTGAGGAACCATAATCCTAAGGGCTGGATGCCAGACTGTTGTGTCTGATGAGGCTAGTTGAGCTGGATAATGTCCATCATACCACCTTGCACTCCTCCTTCATCATGAGATGAAGGACCACTCATGCCACAATGTCCTTTCCATGCTGGGCATCCCCTGTGCTCCCCAAGTGCCACCAGCTCCCTGTCCAAGAACCACAGCTCATAATGCTGGCTCCTTGAGAGATGAAAACTGTGGTGGCACCACTTAGGAAACCCTTTTTTTTTGCACTGAACAAAACTAAGGCCCTCCCTCTCATCAGTTAGAAGTAAAGGCTAGTTCAGCTCTGCCCCTGCTCAATGCTCTGCTGGTGACCCCACTTACTTCACCAGTATGACGTGGTGGTGTGAGTCGGACCTCCAAGTCTTAGCTGCAGTCAAGATGACCACCTCCATCTATCCTCTAATTTTAGAAGTTGCTTTATGGACAAAAAAAGAACAAATTATCTTGGATCAGGTATTGGGTGTTTTTCAGACTTAACAAACCTTCTTTTGATGCAGGTTGAAAAAAATTTAAAACTGGAAGAAAAAATCACCATGCTGCAACAGCAGAACGAAGAACTCAGAGCCAGGATTGAGCAAAATACTGTCATAACAAGGTTTGTGCTGATATTTGCAATGTGTCTTAGCTTGAAAGAAGGCTCCAGATCTTAATTGCCCAAGACTGACACTTATTTCAGAAGGGGAAAAACTTATCTTACCCTGAAAGTGTATTTGTGTCCTGTTAAGCTTCTTTTCTTACAAAATCCTCTTTATATAGGGGGTTGCTTACTTTAACATAAGGAAGGCCACATATCTGTCTGTGTATTTTCATGATTTTGACATGTTGCCAAGAGCAAACTTGCTGGTGGTTCTGATCTCAGTATCAGTGCCCTGAAACCCATTAATCAGTGGGAATGAAGATGGGAATGGGGTGTTTTCAGGAAAGACGTGCTACCGATGCCACTGGCACCCAGATGGGGTTATCCATAGGTGGTTTTGTTCATTGGCACTGCCTGTTTGCACCCTTGTCGCAACTTGGCGAAGGTGTCAAGGCTCCTTGTGTTAGTTAGGTGGCATATAGAGAGAAAGGTAGGACAGTCCCTGTCCCAGTGTTTATAGTATAAGACCAGAGACCACAGCTGGAGCCATGCAGAAAGGGTGCCAGAGGGAGATGCTAGAGCTGGTCTTGTACCAACCCTGCAGCTGCCTAAGCTGTCATTGCAGTCAGAAATAATGCCATTGACCAAAAGTTTAATTTCATTTTTAGCTGACTTTTAAACTGCAGGTGTCTCATCTCTGATTTTAGTTTTTGTCTTTCTAGTGCTTCATTTGTTAATGATTCAGCCTTTTGAAATTGTCTCTGGCATGTAGATATTTTTAAAAGGCAGCATTACGTGCACTAACATTCACATGAGGTGAGGATTATATTTCCTCTCACCTGATTGTAAATACCTGTAACATGTCACTATCTGAGGTGGGTGTCTACAGTGTTTCTGTGCCTGGGAAGAAAAACTAGGAATTTTTAAGGTCTGGTTCATGAGATCAATTTGAGACACCTGCTTTAGGGCTGGATGAATTGTGGCCTGGAAGTGGCAGTCTCTCTCCACGCCTGACAGCAGCCAGAGTTCCTGGTTCAGTGCTTGGCATCTCTGCATTGCAGCTACCTGTCTCTGGCTGAGTGAATAGCATCCTCCCTCCACTCCCTGCCAGCATCCAGCTGCAGCACTTTGTTGCTTGGCTGTAAATATGTAGGTACTGGTTTCAAGAACATCTTTTAGGAGAAATTCTGAATTTGAGGTCAGTCTGCAAATTCATCTTTGAAGACAGTAATTTTCAGGAGTAACTATTTGGGGATAGCTATGGGGCAGCTATAGGGACAACCAGGTCTTTAAAGTTGGAGTTATTAAGACTTGCATTTTCCTGGCAGCAATAGCCAAGCCAATTGCTCATTTCTGTTGTACTGGCACTGCCTGGGAAGTGCAGCATGAATGAGCTCCGGGAGCTGCCCTTGCTGGGGAACAACATGGATTAGAGCTCTTTCTGCCAGTATGCAATTCAGGTGCCCAAGCAGCTGTGACAGCCCAGCAGCAGCGAGAGGAGGGAGGGGAGCCAGAGAAAAGCCAGTCTTTGCAGCATGGTCAGGAGGGGTGTTCCAGAGCTACTGGGGGGCTGAGGGGTGCACCATGGAGATATTTCCAGTTCTAGCCAAAAGCAGGTACAAAGGGAGGGACAAGAGCCTTTGGATGCAGGAGTTCCACAGAGCCTTCGCTGGAACTTCCTTAAGCACTTGAAAAAATCATCTGATTTCCCAACATTTCAGATCCTCCCTCCAACCAACCAGCATTTTTTTTGGTCCATTGGACTGGGGATGTTTGAAGAATGGTAATTTCCAGCACCCAAAGCTGAACATCACCAGGTCTGGTCTCTGCTGGCATAGCCCAGGCACCCAGTGATCTCTGGACCATTTGGGTTGAGGCACAACTCAAGCACCTTCTCCCACATCTCTATCGTGTTGGTGTGCCCCTGCAAATCTCTATGGGTTTATGGCTGTGATTTGTTACAGATACTTGCATTGTTGGGAGACTGGGAGAGAAACACATCTGATCATGTCTGCTCCTGTCCAAGCAGTGCCTTTAGCAGAGGAGGGAGCTGAGCCCCTCACTGTGCTCTGTGGTCTGTGCTCTTGTGACCAGCCTGCTCCCAATACCCAGATGAGCTTGACCAGCCAGTCACACACTAAGAAACACACACAAAGGCAGGGAAAGCATTTGCTTTTTAATTTTTTCTTCAGCAAATGCTGTCTGAAATAGATGTACTGGGGCTTTGCATATAATTTTTATGGCTGTCTTGTTTAACACTGCAAAAGAAAGTAATTCTGTGTGTAGCAAGAGTTATTTCTTCAGGGTGAGCTCCCATGGGGACTTTCTCATGACTGTTAGACTGTGAGCTCACGCTACAGCTGGTTCCCCAGTAGGACCATGATAGGATTTTTCTTCTCTACCAGGCAAGCAGCTTTCTGAAAACTTCTGTCAACTTGTGTTGTAGTCCTTCAAATCTGCTAGCCACTGCTCCATGGTTCAGAACTTTCAGGGACTGGGAGAAGAAACAGACATATTCTTGATTACCTGAACTACATTTCTGTAGGAATCAAGACTAAAAAAGCAGAAATTCTTAAAAAATACTTTTTAAACAGAATCAGAAATGCCAACCCCACCATCTCAGAGGCTTTTGTTGAGTGCACCAGCAGCCCATGACATCTGCTATAAGCTTCAGGCTACACCCAGAAAAGTTGTACAGAATTTTTTGTGTGCATCCAAAATCCACACCCAGCTGCTGCTGAATGCTGGAAACACCTAGGGGAAGGTTAGGTTCCTCCCTGTTCATTTCTATAAAATCCTAAATTGCCTGTAAATCAGGTTAGGTACCTGCCCAGAGCTGCCCCAGGTTGATCACATCAGGACCTGGCTCCTACCCAAGTATAATGGGGCTGCGGAATCCTGGTGCTCCTTCATGCATCCTTCAGGATGTAGATATTGTCAGCACATGCCCAAAACACATCCTAATCAGGTCCCATATTCTACCTGCACTGCTCCATTTGTTTCAAAACCAGTCACTTGGTGCAAACTCACTAAGGCTGGTGCCCATGGATATTCCCATGCCCCAGCTCCCCAAAAGCCATTAAGTTATTGAACATTCTGAGGAGAACACCTCCCTGGTCCTTGCTGGTGAAGTTTCTCTAGCATTGCAGTCAGGAATAGTGTCTTTTTTGGGACCTAAGGAGGAAGGAGCTGGAGGAGGACCTATAGCCTCATGAGCTTTTACAAAGGAGAGGGAAGGCCTTAAAGCTGACCTGCATCAGGACATCTGCTAAAACTGGGAGCATTGAAAGGGCAGAATCCTTTTCATTTGCATGCAGTGAGTTGAAAAAGTCAATGAGCGTAACTGCTGTCTCTGCTCTTTGCACTCACTAAAATGCCACAAGTGCTCTCTCACTCATTGCACAGCTTTGGCATCTAAGATGGGAAACAAGGGCAGAGTTACGTCTGACTACAGAGCTGGATTTTCATCCTCAGACAGAAGAAGGCCTAACACCCTGGGTAGTTGCCTCTGGTGTCTGCTCTAGCTGCTGTGCTGCTCTGGTAAAAAATGGGGCAGCACTGCAAGCACCTTTGGGTTGTGAAATGGCACAGGACGAAGGTGGCTGGAGCCAGGCATCAAAACTGTGGAGAAAGCAGGATTTAACCTGCACTTTGTGCTGCTCATTGAGTAGCTGCAGGGGTGCCATTGCTGGGCAGGATTTGTTGGATTGATTTCTTTATCCCCTTGTCTTCTTGGTGCAAGAACAGAAGCCCTGGCCAAGGGACCATGTGTGCAGGGAGCCCAAGTACCCACTGACCCATGGCTCTCGCCTCCATCTAGGGGTGGGTTTGGCTTTACAGGGATTTACTGGCCCATTCCCAGGTAGAAACTACTGTGCCAGTGAACAGGCTGTGCAGAAGCCACAACCCCATGCTGTGTACCTGCTTCCTCCATGTGCTGAAAGTGGGGAGAAAACACTTAGATCAGATTCATTGCATGGTAGCTCTCAGGGAGCCAAAACCAACTTGGCCACAAGCAAATACCGATGCGAAGAGGACATCTGAAACCACTGTGCCTACCTACATCCCCAAGCCAAGTACCTGGGCCAGCTCTGAAGTCCTCTCCAGACACCAGTGACGAAGGCTGGGCATGCTCTGCAGTCCTGGTTGCCCACCATGGGACTGATGGTGTTCTCTTCAGCTCCACCCTGTTCACAAACCCATGGTTTCCCAAGGAAGACCAGCACTTTCAAATATACAAATAAATAAACAAATATGCTAGATTCTTCTTTTAGGGCTTTCCAGTTTTTACGCTGTTGTCTGTATGGGAAAATGGCCATTTTAAAAGTGTCTGGAGTGCATGGTCCATGCACAAAGTTCTTGGCACTTTTGCATGCCCTACATGATGCTGGCAGTAGCACAGGGCCAGACAGGAAGGCTGGGGTTCATCCCACCTAAGCTTTGGTTGCTGAGATGCCTCAAAGAGGTGTTAGAGCAAAGACACAAGTGCATCTAGAGGCAGAGTCAGACAGTGTGGGGAAGCTGTGACTTGTGGAGATGCCTTTCTCACCCAGCAGTGAAGAGATCTGGGGCAGGGGGATGGGATGGGACATGGCTTACTGATCAGTGTTCCACCTGGTCCTGCCTCTTGTGTAGTGCTGGCTGCATTAATGCAACCATCTTTGCCCTGGTGCACCTTACATGTTGTCCTGCTTCTCTCTCCAGGCAATTGTCAGAGGAGAATGCTAATCTTCAAGAATACGTTGAGAAAGAAGTGGAGGAGAAGAAGAAGCTCAGCAGGACCAACGAAGAGCTCCTCTGGAAGCTGCAGGAGGGAGACGCCGTAAGCCCTGTCAAACTCCCACCTGCATCGTCCACTTCTTTTTATCACTGCTCATCAGAGAACTCCTCTCCAGCAAAAGTCAGAACCTTGCGGCGATGAATCAGCAGCTGTGTGCCGGAGGTTCCCTGCCTTTTACGCATTTCCAATCTGCAGAATATTACCATCCAAGGAAGTATTACCATCAACAGGCACCCAGCGTTCATGGCTGCAAGCATGTTTGGTAGCTGCATAGCTTTACACTAGGCAGGGTACTCTTATAGTCCCCATATAGAAATTCTTGGTTCTGACGTGTCGATTAGGGTAGCAAAAAAGATAGCAAAAAGCTAGAACAGCAGAAAGTTAGGATAGCAAAAAGTTTAGTTTGATGTGTGAACATTATAAGTATGGTTAGAGCCAAAAGTTGGAAAATGCTCTATTAATGGTTCATCAGAATGAACTTTTGCTGCAGTATTTCAGGTTAGTTACAAATACAGTTGAAGTTGTGAATATTTCTGTATATGTGTCTGTGTTTATATACATGTACGAATTGTACCTTTATACCAATATATAGACGCACACACATATATATGTAGTTGCAGATGTTCTGAATTGCATTTTTTATATTATTGGATACTACTAAGTGCTGATATATTTTCATTACAGTCAGCAGTTTTCTAACTCGTGCCTAAGACTTGTATCTAAACAAAATGCATTTCTGTTTAGACTCCCAGGAATATTTGTACCCAACCTAGAAGAAAGTTACACAGAAGTAGAAGCGCCTTCCAAATGACCACCAAGTGGTACTCTATGTAACATGAACACCAGCGAATTTGAAATTCTGAGACAGTACTGCCTTTGAAACCATCACCTTTGCATTGAATACCAGATAAGATATGCATACCATCCACTGCTTTTTGACTCTTAGCATTGACATTGTAAGTGGAGATAGGCTAGAGATGAGAAACCTGAGGGGTTTAGCAAATTTGATAGAGGTTACTGGTTATACATGGTTCAATTTTAGTGTCTTTAAATCTGAGTCAGATCTTTATCTTGATTTACCTTGTCCTGATTTGGGTACAATCAAAATCTCTGGTTGGTTCGTGTCCATTTTTTTAATTTCCAGTCCCATAAGCAAGAAGGAGAAAATAAGTTGTTCATCCTTGACCTGTGCTGGATGAGAGGTTTCCAATATTAGGATGAGATACTGGGCACCTGCTAGGGCTCTAGCCTCCTTCCACCTGAAATGCCAAATAGAGCACAGCCAACTACACGGGCGCAAATGAAGTCAGAATTACTTTCCTTCCACATATCTATATTATTTCACATTGCTAAAGCTTACCCAAAGTTACAGAGCACTTTGAAGATTCACGGAAATGAGTGGCTAAACTAACTTTAACTTTCCCATCTAGAAGGAAAAAGCCTGTCACCCAGGCTTTGGGTGACACCCTACCTGAGGGAGTGGTGGGGCCGAGAAGTGGCTGTGGTGGGACAGTCTGCAGGGCCCTCGTGGGCACTGCTAGCAAGTAAAAAATATCCCTGAGCACGATTTCAAAAACAAGGAGATCTGTGGGATGCTTTTCTACCCAGCTCGGGGCAAAGAGCCTGCATGCAGGCCTGCTTTGCACACTGGGGTCAAAGTAAGCAGGGAGACAGTACATGAAGCAAACCCCTGGGGTGCAGGAGCGCTGTGGGGAGGACGGCTCTCCCACCTGGGTGTGCGTGGCACCAGCGCACCCTGCACCCACAGGGGTGGGAATGCACTGCCCAGCAAACTGCTCGAGTGGGAGCTATGCTTCAGCTTTCCTGGGAAGTACTCAGGATTCACAGACTGCAGCTTAGATACAGCTTCAAACACCGTAAAAGCACCTGTGGCCTGTTCCACAGTGTTAAAAAAAAAAAAAGGTGATTTTTTTTTTTCTCCTTTTTAGAGAAATTTATTTTTGTAGCAGCTTTTGCATGATACTGTGGTACTGAGCATCGTTAGAATAGATCATGCCACACCAGCTACTGCTGTTGAAATGCATTACTAGATTTTAGTGTGTCCAGCAAATACAGCTGAAAGTGAGATAGATACCTAGCACGTACATGCACACAAAGCCTCTTCTTGCCAAGTACAACTTTAATCACTTTGATACTTACTAACTACACAGATATACCTGCAATACCTACTGCATTTACCTGCAATACCTACTGCATTGTCATCTTTCATCCCACCAATACAATTCAGGTAAAATGAGATCATAGAAGCATAGGATGATTTGGGTTAGAAGGGATCTTTAAGATCATCTGGTCCAAGCACCCTGCCATGCACTGGGACACCTTCCACTAGACCAGGTTGCTCAGAGCTCCATCCAGCCTGGCCTTGAACACTACCAGGGATAGGGGCATCCACAACTTCTCTGGACAACCTGTTCCAGTGTCCTACCATTCTCATTGTAAAAAAATCTCTTCCTTATGTCCAATCTGAAACTATCCTTTTCCATTCTAAAACTGTTGTCCCTTGTACTGCCACTAGAGGCCCTGGTAAAAAGTTTATCTCCATCTTTCTTACAGGCCCCCTTTAGATACTGAAAGGTGCCACAAGATCTCCCTGGAGCCTTATCTTCTCCAGGCTGAACAACCCCAACTCTCTCAGCCTATTTTCATAGGAGAGATGCTCCAGCCTTCTGGTCATCTTTGCGGCCCTATTCCAGACTTGCTACGGCAGGTCGATGTCCTTCCTGTGCTGAGGAACCCAGAGCTGGATGCAGCACTGCAGGTGGGGTCTCACCAGAGCACAGTGGAGATCCTCGACCTGCTGGTCATGTTTCTTCTGATGCAGCCTAGGATATGATTGGCTTCCCGGGCTTGAAGCATTCATTGCCGGCTCATGTCCAGCCTCTCATCCACCGGTATCCCCAAGTCTTTCTCCTCAGGGCTGCTCTCAATCCATTCATCCCCCAGCCTGTATTGTTACCAGGGGCTGCCCCAATCCAGGTGCAGCACCTTGCACTTGGCCTTATTGAACCTCATGATTTTCTCATGGACCCACCCCTCAAGCCTGTCAAGGTCCCCTGGATGGCATCCCTTCCCTCTGGTGTATCAACTGCATCGTTCAGCTTGGTGTCATCTGCAAACTTGTTGAGGATGCACCTGATCCCCCTGTCCGTGTCATCAGTGAAGACATTAAACAGTTCTGGTTCCAATATGGACCCGTGAGGGCCACCAGTTGTTACTGATTTCCATTGGAACATGGAAATCAATGCAACCATCAATGCAAGCCAATTCCATATCCAACTTCCATCCATCAAACCCGTATCTCCCGAATTTAGTGACAAGAATGTTGTGTGGGACTGTGTCAAAGACCTTACGGAGTCCAGGTAGATGACATCAGTTGCTCACCCCTCATCCACTAGCGCAGTCACACCATTGCAGAAGGCCACCAGACTTACTGATAGTTTCTAGAATCCTCCTTTTTACCCTTTGTAAATTGGTTGAGATGATACATCCAGAGTTGTTACCATGATGCTCCTCTCTACTTTTCTGTGCTAAACACACTAATGCATACTATTGGCCCAGGACAGTCTGGCTGAGCCTGTTTTAATTTATTAACCCTTTCCCTCTAGTTCTGGTGCTTTCTTTATCACTTTATTGGTTTAAAGTCATATGCAAAAGATGCTTCCAGCAGTGAATTGGGAGTGGGGCTTTTATGGTGGGAAAACTGGGATCGAACCCAGCTCCACCATCATTCGGTATCATTGCCAATCCTTTCCTATCTAATTTTTGCCTCCCAATCCTGCCTCACACTGGATTCTTCCTTGGCAGGGCCTCTAGGGCCTGCCCAATCACTAGAAAAGCTGCAGGAAATTTTGCCTGACCAGAACAGACCCAGCAACCCATCCCTGTGGGGGCTGCTAAGGGTGGCTCCTCCTGTTGTGAGCCCAGAAACACAGACTTTTTTCCCCAAAAAAGTTATTTCTTTTTCCTGTTTTTCCTGTCCTGTCCCTCTTTGCCTCTGCATGCTGGAGTAGGTGTGAAAGAAAAGCCCAGGTCACTCAGACAGTGGGAGGAAGGGAGCAGCCCCTGAGTGGGGCAGCCATTCCCAGGGTATGAACACCCCTGAGTGCGTGGCCAAGCCTGTAACCCCTGCTCTTGCCAGGGAGGTGTAACCACGAAAGGTGAGCTTGGCATTCCCAGCGGTGCAGGGGCCTTATCTCCAGTCCGTGCTCACTGGCTGTCCCTGCTCAAAGGCAAGCAATGGGAAGTAATGTCTTTTGTGAGGCTGGAGACTTCCCGAATCCATGGCCACTGCAGGGACTTTCCCATTTGGTAGGGTAGAGCAGCCTTTGGCAGGAGAGGGAACGTCGCCAGCACTAAGCAAGAAAGGGTTTTATTGCCTCTCTCTTTAAAAAGAAGCTGTTTGCTTTGGTTAATCTTTAATCAATGCAGAAGGGTGCAGCGACAATAAAACTAGCCTACAGCTGCTCTGGAGGGGCTCCAGAGACAGGCACTGGGAGCAGGCATCAGCCATGGGATGGCAGGAGACCCGGCAGCAAGCAGGGGCCAGGGGGAAAGCTCCTTTTTTCTGTGGAAAGATACCATTTGGCCCTGTTGGGATGGCACCTCCTGCAGCTGCTGGCAGAGACGTGTTAACTCGGGCAATGCACAGCGGCAAAGGCTTACGGTGGTGGCAGGCAGGGGGAGGAAAGGAGAAACTATCAAGTGCAAAATCAGGTATTTTATGTCTGCACTGATGGTGGTTGTGTCCCATGGACACGCTGAGGAGCCTCTGTACAGTTTCCCGCGCAGCAGGAGTTCTGTGGTCCCGTTTACTATGTGGCTAATGATTACAGGAAGTTTGTATTATTTCAGTTACGATGTACAGATAAGTGTAATATATTCCTGATAATAAATACATGCGCCAGTGCACCTGTGGGCTGGCGCATACAGACCAGCACGTCCTGCCATGTTTTCTGTGCACACGGAAACTGGGATAAGTGGAAAACAAAGCAAAACCCCATTAAAGGGTCACCCCATTAAAGGATTACCCCATTAAGGGTAAAAAGACTGAAGCTAGACACTCAGCCTCTGGGCAGCAGGGCTGGTCGTCTGGGTTACCTAACCGTGGCTCACATGCTATTAAGTTCCCATGGATGCATTTTCTAAAGGTGCGTCCAGTATGTCTGGGGTTCCCAGATCAGGGATTGTGGTCTGCAATGTTTCTGTCAAGGTGTCATGCTGCAGCACGTGGTAGCGGGAACATTTCTGCCAGTGATTCAAGCACAGCAGAAAAAAACCTGCACTCTCTATTGGAGTGCCAGTTCACTAAGTTTCAACACCCCATCCCCTGTGCCCTCACCCTGCCCTCCGGCTGAGAGCCATAGAACTGCTTGGGCTTTGCCACAAGGATTAAAAAGGGGCCAGGGCACATCTCACCTCAGAAATGTGCCTGATAACATCTTCCTGAAAGACTTTTCACCAAGCCCCTGGCTTGCTTAGCCATGACAAGGACCAGGACTGAAGGAAGAAGCAAAGCAGTGTTTGGGGGCCACTGGCTCATTTGCCACAGGACACGAGTGATGAAGGCAGAGGCATGCAGCAGACAAGCCTCCTTCTGCTTGGTGGTTTTTGTGTTGTCCTGCAGGCCCTATCCTGGAAAACCCCACCAACAGAACTCTTCGTTCACCACACAGTCCTAGTTTCCTGAAGCAACTAAACTTTGCAATGTGAGCAAAATTTGTATCACCTGGGTCAATTTTAAGTTACCTTTGCAGGTTCTTGAAGCCCCACCTAATACCTGAACTGGTAGTACAAGACAGGAGCTGTGTCACCTTACTATCAGCAGCAACAACCTGCACAGCGCTGAGCACAGACTCAGTCTGAAGCAAATTCCTCATATTATGTAGCATCCCACCTGTCTCAGCAAACCCAAAAGACAGGGCAGAGTTACCACAAGCATCTCCCTGAGCAAGTGCTCCCCTGCGGGTATTGTAACAAGCTGGAAAACAGAGGCAGGCTTGCAAATGAGGGCAAACAATAGGCATAATTTATTTGGATATTAAGAAATACGTTTTAATGCTGTACCACATAATTACAAGTGAATTTCCAAATTCCAAAAGCATTGTTGAGGGGCGAAGTATTTACACTGTTGACAGGATTAGAAGTAGCCACACACCTGTGCTGTGCTCTGGGGGCAAGGTTCACATTTTAAAACTTAAGGCTTTAATTGCTACGTGAACTTGGCAAAAAGACAAAACAGAACCAAAAAAAACCACAACAAACCGAAACAAAGATAAAGACGACAAAAAATAGATCTCATTACCGAACAAGCATTAAAACTACTTATCACACCCATAAAAAATTCTGAGAAAATTATTAGGAAAATAGACCATCAGACAACAGAAAAGTATTTACATTTTGCTTAGTAATTTTAATAATTGAAAAATATACACTCTTCCATGGCTTCGGTCAGAAAAATTACTTTACCAGCTCCTCCTGCCCCTTGCACCCAGCACAGCTGGAACACACAAGTGCTGCAAGGGAACCCTTTGCTTCCCACTGCTGTCCCAAAAATACGAGTCACTTTGTCAAAACCACTCCCACACAGCACTGGGATGGAAAGGTGCCTCTTGCTGGTCGGAGCCTGCCAGGTCTCAGATGAACCCCATGTTTTGGAGTGTGAGCCAAGAGCAAATACCCTGAGAAAAATCGAGGTCTGGCTCTTGCTAGCAGAGACGTTCCAGGACCATTTATTTTCCAGCTGGGTGTCAGACTCCCAGTGGGACCTCAGCTGCAACTGTAAGGTAGAGTGTAAGGCAGCCCAGGGGGGTTATGGCAGAGGCATTGCTGCTGGAATGGGAAGTGAATGATAAAACATGAGGCAAGTGGCAGCAGGCAGCACAACTGATGGTACCATCGAGGCAGCCTTGCCTTCTGCTTGCTTTTGGGATGCAGGCAGGCTGGCTTCCCACATCAGGCTGGCAGCCCTGTGGAAAGCTGAGGTGGCTGTGAGGAGAAAGCATCAGTTCACTGTGAACGTACAGATTTAGCCTTGAACAAGTGCAATTTTTTCACAAGGAGAAGGAAGAAACAAGACCTGCCTGGAAAGTCAAGCCCAGCGGACATCGCAATGTTATCCAAGGCTTTAGGAAGAGATGCTTTTTCTGCCAGAGGGAAGAGGTTTGCTTTGAAAGGGGAGGGTGTTGAGATAAATGTAGGAAAGGGATTTCAGGGGAGCCTGCTGCATGAAAACCAGCCTCATTCCTGCTCCTCCCCATCAATGCAAGCCCCTCACGCCTGCCAGACATGCCTGTCACTCTTCGTTCATTTGGGCAGATGACAGCGATGTTCACTTGTACGTGGCTTTCCTCAGGGGTGGATTTAAGAATTTCCACTGGAATTCATTAGTATATAAAATGCAATCACTAAAGCAGCAGATTTTACAACTATAAACATAATATTCTATCATATCACTTTCTGGTCTCTGAGTAAGTAGGAATGGAGGCAGCAGGCACTCTCTGTACACCATGAATAGGAGCTTGTTTTTCTTGAATGGATGAAGAGTACGAGCATCCATGGCAGGCACTGCCAGCTAAAACTTTACCCTTCTAAAACCCCAGCAGTTAAGCAGCAGTGTGTGGTGTCAGCACCAGCAGCGGTTCCACTGGTGTGTTTCCCTTCAGCCCCCTCTCCCCTGCTGTGACCAAGCACATACGGCTCTGAACCAGGAGCAATCTGTTTGCAGCACACCCCAGCCCCCACAATGCCCAGACAGTACTGGTGGGCAGGGGGGGCAGCCCTGCACCCCCTCATGCAGCAGAGCTCTTCGACTCCTAGCAAACACTCTCTGCCCAGAGCAGCATCAAACTCCACCCTGAGGGACGACAAAAGGGCAAAGTGAAGCTGAAACCCAGTCAGTAATGACCTTCAGTGACAGAAGAATGAAAATTGTAAGCAAATAAGCAAAAGCTAGTAACTTTTGAACCAAAAAATGTCTTTTTTTTTGGGGGGGGGGGCCTGAGGGGGAAGAAAAACTGTTTTGACAGCAATTTTCCATTGAAAAGGGCTGACTGGCTACATACTCAGACTTGCTGTATAAGCGCAAGTTGCGGCCTCAGTGCTGCCAATCTCTGCCCACCACGCACCATCAGTCAGTAGGACCCTTCCAACAGCTTTCCCAGAAGGAAACTTCAAGTGAGCAGACTGGGAGCAACCAAATATGCTAAAACAAGATCACTCTTTTGGGCCAGAGCCTGCCCCTAAATATCAAGCATGCCAGGATCTGGTTTTTTGCCAATCAAAGGCATTACTTCTCCATTCCCAACTCTTCATGCAACAAAATGCTCTGCATCTCTACAAAATATTTGCATCATAAAATAACGATTAAACTATTCACAAAGGAAAGCTCAAATGAATGAAAGTATATCATCCACAACAGCAAGGTTATAGCAGCAGTTGCATGACAAGATACTTGGCTTGATCTATGTTACATACAGACATCAGCAGGGAGGCAGAAGATGGTAAAAATCCATAAAACAGTAAAAATCCCACTATTCAGCAAAGTCCTTGACATTGTCCTGGAAAGAGGCAGGCAGACTTGCCTTTCAGCTTAAAAAAATGTACAAGCAAGGGGTGGATGGATGCAGGCAGGAAAGGATGAGGCAGAAGTATGCAGCTGTGTCAAATGCATCACCTCCTCACCAGTCCACTCCCTGGGTCAAGACATGTGAAGAGGAGGCCAGGAGGCCCCCAGGTCCAGCTGGGGTCTACAGAGAGCCAGGGAGACACCTGCACTTCCCTGTCACTGCGCAGGGCTGCAGATTCCCTCCACCTCCTTGTATCCGGTGACTAGCAACAACAAACAAGATCAACAGCAGCACTCGCCACCAGGGAACTGATGGGCTGAAGAAGTCATGATGGAGCAGCGGGAGACAGAGCTAAAGGCCCTCACCTCTACCAAAAAATTTATGGTATGCGGCTCTGGGGCTGGTACGCATGAGGGCACATTTAAATACCAAATCTGTTAACACAGAAGGGTTTTCCTGTGAACCTTCTCAGAAAAAAAGAAACTGAAGAAAAATGGCCCCCATTAAGACTTTCTCTTCTTCTACATGTTGCTATTATATGTCACAAAAGCTGAAACAAAGTAATGGAATATAAAAACCAGACAACACAAATAAGTTAACACTTATATAAAAAAAATTTTACATACAGAAAGAAATCTGGTATGTTAAAATAATTTTCTTTGGAAACACACTTCCAGTCAGAATTCACTCCTAAATGGTCATTGCTTAGTGTTTTAATTGCTCAGAAGCTGGTACCCAGGTAGCGAAAAACATCCTGACATTTTTAGTACAATAGAAAACTTTGCTACCCTCTGAGTTTTCATCTTCTTGCCTCTCACCACATCTTCAGTGTCCTTTGGGAGGCTGCGGAGTGTGTTGACCTTGCCTGTGTTTAAACAAAATGGATTTCAACATAGAGGCTTCTAATTTCTATATTCATCTCTCCCTGCTTGAGTAAGACTTTGTATATGCATAAGGCGCAAAGGCTTGGCAGATGGTCAAGACCCAGTGACTGGAGCAGACCCCAACTTCATTTTTGGGGGGAAACTGCACTCAAAACACACCCTGAAGTGCACCTGGGAGGCAATGAACACACTGCCTTCACTCCCTCAAATTCCAGTCCTGCCAAGAGCCTCCCAGCGCACTAGAAAGAAGCCAAGATTAAAACTCTTCAGTGGGCAGAAAGGCTACAAAGTCTTTCTTGGAAACATGGGAGAGACGGTCCACGGTCCGGCCGTGTAATCCAGGAAATGGTCTGATTCTCCTTTCTGCTGCACCAGATGCCTGGTGAGACCCTGGACAAGTCATGCAAGGGTCTTTTCTTCAGTTCTCCAACTGAATGATGGGGACAAGAGCCTGTCACTTCATCAGCAAGAGCCATGCTGACAAATAGATTAAAGATTGTCCAGTGTTCAGAGGCAGTAGTATGGAGGACACCTAGGAAAGCATCCACTCAGTCAGGAAAGGGGATTTCTGCAGTATCTGTTTGGGATGCTCCACCGCTGGAGGCATTTGAGGTCAGGGTTTTGAGCAATCTCATCTAGTGAAAGATGTCCTTGCCCACGGAAGGGAGGCTGGACTAGATAATCTTAAAAGGTCCCTTCCAACCCAAACCATGCCATGATTCTATGATTTGTTTTTCAGTATAAGTTGAAGCATGAATTTAAATCAGTGGCATAACATGGACATGGCCCATCTTCATGATGCTTTAACAAGCCTTTTTTAGGGTAGTGGATGAATCTGGCTGGGGAAAGCTATTAGAACATTAAAAAAAAAAAATTCATCTTGCAGCAAAACTAAGACATTTCCAACCAAACGCACCCTGTGGCCTCAACTCCAAATTTCTAACCTTTCACTACAGCCAGGCTCTGGAGATGATCTCCAGCCCCAAAGGGAAAGTTCCCCTCAGCAAGTCAGACCCCAGAGCTTAGCGGTGTTTTCTGGGCTGCATGCTCTGTTGGGACTTGAGAAGCCCCTGCACCTCCCCACAGCCAGGGGGCAGACACCAGCACTGCTCATGCATGAACTTCATGAGCCTGAGGATCCTTCTGTGCTTCCCTTCCCACGGCAGAAATGCATTCCACCCGCCAATAACAAATGCATTCCACGGCCAGCTCCTTTACTAATGCCACATGGCCAGCACACAAAAGTGATGTGGGGAGAGGAAAATAGGGCTTCACTTGCTGTCAGAGCTGGACTCACTTCTGCCAGCCACCCCACCACTGCAGCCACACCACCGGTGATTTCTGAGGCAAAGAGGTAGGACAGCTTTTTGGAGGCACCCATTCCTTTCAAGCCTTTCAAGTATTTGCACCATACAGTTTCCTCACTAAACCTGGCAATCCCTCTGTGGAGTGTACAGGCAGCAGCAATATCTGCTGGCGTTCCCGGTGTGCTGGCAAGCGACCATTCACCTGACAAACAGCGACCACAAACCTTCCCAACATTTCACAGCAGCGCTGTGCTTTAAAGCGTATGAGTACATAGTTAAAAAAAACAAATTAAATACAACAAAAACTACGAGACCTAATAATTTAAAGAATGAAAATCTTGCAGGTGCTTTCTTAGCCCAGTGAAATCTGGTGTTTGGCAAGAGCCTTTTTTTGTGCGTACATGTGGGGTACAGGTCACGTATTGTGAAGGATGGATCTGGTCTACGCTTGACAGTAGCACTGCAAAATCTGCTCCATGTCTAATCAGGTAGAGCATCTGTGGGGAGGTAATTCTCAGGGCTACTGAATGAAAGACCTTTGTGAGGCTTGGTTTCATAGCAGCATTTAAGGTTAACTGGCACACAGAAGCAGTTCTCTTTCTACACACCGGGGAAAAAAGACAAAACAGGAGAAGGAGAGAGGGAAGCACATAGCCCCAGGTGAGCTAACAGTGCCGCCAGGAGTGTTTCAGGGTTGTGGCTTTTTTCCTTGTGATCCCTTTTAACTGTGCTACTAAACAAACCGCAAGCTGCAGCAAAAGGGTTGGGGAGGCCCACGTTAGACTTTCTTATTCCTGCATTACTGATTGATCAGATGCAATCTGGTTCAGGACGCCCACCACAAAGCTTCTTTCACTGCAGCTACCAGTTGCCTGTAAGCCAAACACAGTCATTTACAGTTGTCTGAGCCAGCGTCTGTGTTTCTCTCCACATCTGCTGACGCTGCGTAGGTGGCTTCCACACTATGCCGTATTCCATAGGCAAAGTAGATGATAAAGCCTGTGGAAGCCAAGGGGAGAGGTTACCATTAGCTCTTCGAGGAAACAGAAAACCCTACTCACACCCAGTGACACAAGTTACAGTAGTGTAAACCCAGCCATCCTGATCATTAGCTTCTCGTGGACAGCCACTACCATCCTTAGAGGAAAAAAAGCCCACAGGCACCAGTTTTTAAAAGTCAATCTATCCCAGCCCCAAATGGGGTGCTCATTTGAGCATTTCAGGCAATTCAGCCTTATCCACATGGCTACTGGGAACATCTTGGGATGCAGCTCAGCTTCTTCAGCTCCAAACCCACAAGCCCCACCACATGGACAGCAGCTCAAGGCCAGTCAACAAAAAACGCTCTATGGTTTCTTGTTGGCAACAAGACCCATAAGATGGTTCACAGGTGGTCGTGCTGTCCTCACAAAGGCTTCAAGACCCTTGAATTTGAAACAAAGCTTGAGACACACAGCCTAAATGGCTTGAGTTAAATCACCAAGGTTGCCCAGGGATGATCAGAATGCAGAATCCCTCCCTGGAATGCTACAATAAATTTACAGTTAACCTAGTAACTTTGAACACAGCATTTTTTACTCTCTAACTCACCCAGGAGCATCCAGACTGCAAACCGTATCCATGTGCCTACGTCTAGCTGCATCATGAGGTAAACATTCACAAAAATACTCACAACAGGAAGAAAGGGCAAAAGAGGTACCTGAAAAAGAATGAGGGATACATTATATCCACAGGGATGGAACAATGAGCAGGAAAGAACATCACATCCCTTGTATATGGGAAGGGATGGTTGTTACCAAGTCTTCAGTTGTCAGATCTGAGAAAAGGCAAGGTTAAACCCAAAAGGAGGACATCAATCCACCATGGGAGTGGGATGTAAACAATGCTGCTCATCTGTTTTAAGAAGCTTGTTTTGTGGTCTGTAAGGAGGCAAGAAGCAAATTTTAGCAGTAATACTAAATACTTGTGGGGCGAAGGAGAGAAGAGGAAAAACCAAGGAGAGGCACCTATTGAAGACCAAGAGACGAAGGTAAGGGGAATGTCAGAGGAGGGATCTAAGGAACTTCATCCAACAGATAGCAAGGTAATTTAGCAATAGAGAGAAAATTATCCCAAAGCAGAAGAAAACCAGCAAATATTGCAAGAGATGACTGCAGCTGTGCCAAGAATGCCTTAGTGGTCTGAGAGTCAAAGAAGAATGAGACAGTAAAGCCAAAATGCCAAAATAAGAATATAAAAAAAATAGCACTGGCATGTAGAGATAAAATCAAACAAGACAAATTATAACAACAGAAAACTTTGTGAATATGGTGGAACTAAGAGGAAAGTGAACTTCACTCCTAAGGGAAAAGGAGATTTATAAAAAGAAAGAGGCTTGTGGGCCTTTCTTGATCTAAGCATTGCCTCCCCAAAAATTTATGGTAAGCAGCTGCTCACATTATTAGAGAAAGGAGATAGACACACAAATTAGAAAAGAGAAGAATATTTTTCTAAATTTAGCTTTGTCAAGTCAGTAGGGACAAATAAAATTTCCCTAGGTGGGTGAGTTATGTACCCAGATATTGCAAAAGTGATCTCTGAACTATTAATAAGCATCTCAGAGTTCTTGGTAGAATTGTAAGGTCTCTGAAGTCTGGAGAAGGGAGAAAAATTACCTGTTAAAAAATACAGAAAAACAACTGGGGAGCAAACAGGTCAGCCCTGGATTTCCAGAGTGACTTAGGAGAAAAATCACAGTCAGGTTGTGAACGTCTAAAGAATAGCAAGGAGATAAGTAACAAGGTTGTCAGGCATTAGAACAGGCTACCCAGGGAAGTGGTGGAATTACCACCTCTGGAGGTATTTAAAAGATATGTAGATGTGGCACTGAGTGACATGGTTCAGTGGTGGATTTGGCAGTGTTGGATTAATGGTTGGACTTGATGAACTTAAAGTTCTTTTCCAACCTAAATGATTCTATGATTACAGATTGAGAAGTGATAGGTCTAATTTCTTTTTTCTTGGACAGGGTAGTGGCTGAGGGGAAAAAAAGGGCATAAAATACCTTGAATGAAAGGTGAAGAGACTTCCTCAGAAGCAAGTTTAGAAAATATAGTTTAGATGAGAGTTCCTAAGTTTTCTGCTCCTGAACATTTCTGTTTCTACCTCTGGGACCATAACTCCCAAAATGAGCTGGAAACACTACCCTGGACAACTCTGGCTGGATTAAATTATTAAAATCAGTGAATTTACTGAAAAACTGTATTTAAAGAGCAGTCACAATGAAAGTAGTTTAGAGGATGGAATTAGAATCCAAAATTAATTTAATAAATTGGGGAACTAGCCTGAAATCAATACTATAAAACATGACTTGCAGGATTATACTGGGGGGAAAAAACATCCCAGTGTTTAATATTGAAAAGATGGTGTACTTGGGCAGGGCAGGAAAATGACAGTTTCTCATACTTAAGGCAGTTAAAGAGAGAATGGTCATCCCTTAGCCTCCATGGGGACTAAGGAGGACATGAAAGTTCACTTTCTTTGAGCCTTTTAGTGAGTACCCCTCTGATCCTCACACTCAAGTTTGCTTCTTGGGTTCTTTCTCCTTCTGTATCCATGATCTGACGTGACCCTTCACAACCATCCCCTTTCCTCCAGTCTCTCTTTCTACCTTATCTTAAAACCATTTGCTTTCAAAAGCAGAGTCTGCTCTTCCCTTTCCTTCCAGTCACACCTCTGCAACAGATTGTGCCTTTCCAGCTTCTCCTGGATAGAAAAGCTCACATCATGCCTATATTTGGTCAAGTCTACCCTTCTGATACAGGCCAACATGCACTTCCTCCTCCAAGCACCTCCCAAAACAGCTGTTTTTCAGCTACACGTCCCAGGACACTCACCTTAAAGGAGAGTTTAGTTTTGCTTTCAGGTTGTTTCCATATAATGCAGCTGACAATGAGAACAAGGATGACAGCAATAATCCATACGTATATTGCAATATTTGTTACAAGGACAGTCAGGATACAGCTGCACACAATAAAGAAACCTGTGAACAGACACCAAAGGTCACTGAGGTTTTTTTTAGAAACAGGAGTAAACCCACAACAACCCACAAGCAGAATCTGAAAGGTCGGCAAACAAAACAGCAACTCATGAAAAAACTAACCACAACAGACATGTCTTTCCCCCTATACACCCCCACACCACCATTTGTGGATTTCTCTTCAAGTCAGAAATTTAATCTGTAGATCTTCAGTTATTTTGGCCATTACAAAAGCTCATCAAAATCACAGCAAGGAGGTGAGTTTTCCCACCACAGTGAGTACAAAGACCTACAGCTCTGTGCTCCAGAGACACACTGCCCAGTGCTTACCAATGATGAAGGTTGAGATGTTCACCACTGAGCCAGATAATTTGGAAGGGTCTGAATTTGGGGGAAACAGTATAGCTTTGAAGGAGCACTTCTCCTCTTCCTCTGGCAAAAATCCAGCCTGTGACTCACTGGTGCTCACAGACTCGTTGTTATCCGTCTCCTCTGTTGACCTAGCCATTTGGTATGCCAAATTAGGCTGCTCTGGTTGGTACCTACGGAAAAGGAAATGACACAAAGAGCCAACCAGTTTGGCACAGGGTACCATTCATTTAAAAGCCATACACATAGTCATGGTTGCTATCCAGATCACTACAGCACCAGAACAGGCCCATACAACATCTGTACCCTTCTGTTTCAGGGGGATATTTGAGGAATAACGTCATAATGATGTAAGCAAATACGGTCAGCTCTTGTCACCTACAGGTTGGTTGTAACATCAAGTGTTTTAAAGTGGACAGTGCTCTTTCATAAACACTGTCATCCTTGTCACCAAAACATGATGGGTTGATAGGACTGCAGAAGGAAGCAGCAGAGGGACAGACAGATAGTTATAACCAGGCTGTTGTGTTATCAGTGGCAGTTCAGCTCTTGCCTTTTGGAAAGGAGGTGGTTGAGCAGATACCGCACTCTGCAGATACATTCCTGGTGCCTCGTACTCCTCCATCCCAGTATCTTCTGCTACCTTGTCTGCTGCCACACAGGGAAGGAAGAGATGGTTGTTGCCTGTGTGAACAGCACATTCAGAAGGGCTGTGACACACAACCATGTGGATCCATAAAGAAAAACCACTCTTCCAGCCTCAACTCTCTGTTACAGAATGTTTTGTCTGTGACTCACCTCAAATTCTGACTAAAGGACTGGGCCATTTTGAAAGATACCTTAAAACTGCTGGGGATGTGTTTACAACGAGGACATTTGTGAAACACTGCAAATTGAGAGATGCAGTGAAATCCTTGGGTCCAATCACAGCAAGAAACTAGTGGCAGGATCTTATAGCTTTGGAAACAATTCACCTGCTACATCATTAGGCAGTCAAATCAGCTGCCCAGGCCACTACAAGACAGGCTGTTAGCTCTGCCAATCCGTGATGGCAAATTAAAAAGCCATTTCTAGCTCTGAGGAAAAGACTGGGCTGGGAAATCAGGAAAAGTAACAAGGGCAAGGAAAATTGGCAAGGATTTTTAAGGGGCAGGGAGGAAAGCACAAACACAAAGCAATGATACTACAGTACAGCACTGGCCCTTCACCTGCTGCAAGACTGTTATTACTTCAGTGCATTTGCTGTGAGCTTGTAGAAAGCCTCCATCTGACTCTGAATAAGTCACTGAACACACAAAGGTATTTTTCAATAACATTATCTTCACAGTATAGTTTTCATTGGTAGAGTGTTGTCATCTGTGAGGTGCCAAGCACTGAAGACACTCAATTTTAAGCTTAGGTTTGGGGGGAGCTCAGCACTTCTAAAAGACACAGAGGCATGCCGCTGCTAGACTTTATCTTGAATTCCCTTTCAAAAATCAGACAACCTGAAAGTGTAGTCCCAGTGAGAACAAGAGTGGTGACAAGGACCACACATCTCTCATCCCTATTCATTGTCATATCTCCCAGGGCATTTAGAGTTGACCGCAGCAGGAGTGGCACAGACCAAGGGTTAACCAAATTCAGAGGACCCCACTGTAGATACAACTAACACAATCCCCTGAGCTCAGAGAAACAAGCTCTTCACATGCTTATAGCTGGAGATGCTCACAGTTTTACTAGGCCTATAGAAACTATGAGGGCATCTGATCACTGCATGGATTTCTGTCAGTGTGATATAAGAAAGGCAGTTTCTACATTCCTACCTCAGTACCAACACACAGGCTGCTACCAAGGAGTAAGCCAGGAGGGTCCCGATGGACATGAGGTCCACAAGATCTTTCAAGTCAAAAAGAAAGGCCATAACAGCTGCAGGAGAAGAAGGTGAGAGAGAAGAAAAATCAGTAACATGGCACAACATGCATATCTCAGGAGCGCTAACGATGATGCAGTACACGTGTTACTGTCGCTCAGCACTTGGCAGGGGAGGTCAAGATGTCCTGAGATGAGGAGAGGCAGGCCTCGGCACATGAATACCCCAAGCCTCCGCATGCTGTACCAGCACAGCCTCACTAGCTGAAACAAGAGGAACCACTTACTACAGCAAATGCCAGCCTGTTCATCTCATACAGGTATGTTCACCCAAGTACCAACAATGAGCAGCAGTTTAAACCACAGCCTCATTGCTGGAGTCCCCCAGTGGAGCCACAGCACCCTTAAAGCCACAATTATCTTCTGGAAGTAGCTAGAGGGGATAGAAGATAGGCAACCCATTGCTGCCTTGTGTCTCAGCTCAGCTGGGGTGAAACCAAGCTTGTGCATGCAATGGGACCAAGCATCAAGGAGGGCATCTTCAGGTAGCATGTCCTATCATGGGGGTTTCCAGAAAAAGTTACAGACTGTCATCCCTTAGGGATTACCCTGCTTACACACCCTCAGCAGGCAAACCCGGTTGTACAGAATTTTGTATAGGGGCCTTCAGAAGGCAAATAAGCAGAGAACAAACATCAGGTAATGCAAACAGTCATATGAGAGTGCAGGGACCTCAGAGCTGAGCCTGGCCCAGCCTGCCCTTAATGCGTAACCTGGAGCCCCAACAACCAGCCCAGCATTCAAACTCAGCTGGCAAGTGCTGTCCCTGCAGCTTCATGTGGGCTTTGGTCTTAGGCACTATGGACCACTCAGATGAGATCTGAAGGGACTGCGAAGCACTTTTCTATACTTTCTATGGCTCTTTTTCGTATCCCACCACAGTATGGACCCAAGAATACCCAAAGAGAAAGGTGTGAGAGAAGCAGCTGTGAGGAGGCTCTGCAAGTCTCAGCAACAGGAGCTAAGCCCTTTCATAGGAGCTCAGAGCCCAGGGCAGCAGTCCTGCAGCAGCTCCCCACCAAAGGTGGTACATTCTTGTACCAACGGCTCATCCCAGTGGAATGCCCATTGCAGCTGAAGGTAAAGAGGAAGCAGCAAGGCTCCCCTCTTTGCCAGGCACCGTAAAGGGGAAGGCTGCAAGAACAGGGTAAACGCTCATCCTTGCTGTCTGGGAGGTTTAATTCCAATGTTTCTGAGGGGCCAGAAGGAAGCAGAGAACAGGATGGCTGCCAGCTGCGACTAACTGATTAACAAATGCCAGTGCCACAGGGGTCTTCTGCCTCTTTCCGGCTGCTCTGGCATCTTCTGCAGACCTGCTACCCACAGGTGGTGAGGTGCCTTTAGCCAAGCCAGGCCAGCAGCCACAAGGATGCTGGGGCACCACTGGCTTCCACCTTGCAGGGAGTTAATTATTTTTAAGGCCTGCAGAGCACGCAGGGAGCAGATAAAGGCAATTCCTGGCATGAGACAGGATGGCAGCAATGAGCTCTGAGAAAGAGGGACATGGACACAGCAAGCTACTCATGCTCACCCAGACCCTCCAGGGCATGCCCTGGAAACCCAGGGCACCCTCTGGGATGTCGTGTTGTGCAACAGATCCGATTAGTAAGTGGGCTAAGAGTCAGGCAGACTTATCTGCCCCAAGGATAAGCTTATGTCTCCTTTCTTCAGATTTGTGCAAGTCTTTTGATCCTACCTGCAACAGCTCCTGATGTCATTGTTGCAATTCTCGGAGTTTTTCTCTTCTCGTCGACTTGAGCCAAGAATTTAAAGAGAAGTCCATCTTCTGCCATAGCATAAATTATTCGAGGCATCGGAAACATGGAGCCAAGGAGACTACAGATGGAAGAGGGAGAAATAATCTACTTATATCTCTTCCTGCTGAGCACAGGCACACAAACAAAAGCTAGTTTATGGCAGAATGAACACAGGTGGCTTTCGTTCATTTCAGCTTCTCCTTCATGGGCCCCCTTCAAATGCCCACATTACTGATAGCTGGCAAATGAGGTGCAGCTCTATGATTTCAGACGCCTAAACTTACCCATGGGGCATGAAACCAGCCTGACTTTCAGGTATTAAAAGAGCTGTAACTCTAGAGCCTCTAGAGTTGCTCACCTAATTGAATATGTCCTAAGCTGATCTGAAATGGGCCTCCTGAGTGCAGGAGAAAATGACATATTCTGCCTCCAGCCTGCCCTGCCTCCAGATGGCTGTCCTGCAGATAATCTGCAGACAGATGGCCCTGGATACGGTGAGCCCCATATGCTCCAGAAGACGCACCCTGCACTACCTGACACAAGTCTGCTCTCCATCCACCATGCCAGGATGTCCACTGTGTAGCTGCCTCCATGATTTAGTCACTCAATCCATATTTATATTCCTGAAATGCACCTGCTGGGTCTTCTGTTAAGATGGGAGTTTCTGAAGTGATACTGGTCACGTGCACCTCTGATATCTATCACAGGGTGAAATCCTGGTCCTTTTGAAGTCAATAGCACGTAATTTCATGCCTGGTCTCCGCTCCATGTTCTATAGGAGTTGGAGATACATGTTTGCCTTGAGAGATGCAAAAAAGGAAGAGCAGTGTCTTACCTTGTAGAAAGGGCACACAAGGAACCGACAGCCACTGCATAATTGGCTCCATCCCAACCCACATATTTAAAGGCATTGGGTAAAGGGCTATTGGTATCCAGCTGGTAGTAAGGCATCATGAGAGTCAGGGCAGCCGACACACCAAAATAAGCCACAAAGCAGATGAGCAGAGATGCCACGATGCCAATAGGAATGGCCTTCTGAGGGTTTTTTACCTCCTCGCCTAAAAGAAAGAAATTTAAATATCAGCTAAATGTCAAACTAGAACTTTATCCCAACCTAGGGCATGCTGGCTGGGGCTTTCAAAGGTTTCGTGGGCACTGAGGTGCTCTTTGACCATAATGCTGTCAATGGACTGCTCCATCCACTTGGCATATCACAGCTGTTTGCTCCCATTTCTCTGCTCCTGTCAATCCTCCCACATTTGTGGAAGCCTTGTAAATGCAGGCACAGAAACAGTCTGGATTAAAACCAGTCCTTTTCCCAAAACAGATTATCTTTGTATACTCCTTCTATCCCACTGATGGTGTAGACTCAAGAAGAGTTCAATGATCACAAATGATGGAACAAGAAATTATCGTGCAGTTGTAGGGAAAATCCTTGGATGACCATTTCAGGAGTGTCTCTATCAGAATTAATACACTGTGAACAAGGCACCATAGGTGCCCAGTTCTGGGAAAAGGCACAGCACCTGAAAATCATATGGGTCTTTAAAAATCCCTCTTGACAAAAGGACCCCCCATAGTTTTTATGGGAAATTTTCAGCAACCAAGTAGGGACAAATGTGTAAAAACCAAAATTCATCAAAGTTCAGGCACTGATTAATTATGAAACAGATTTGTGCCTTCCCTGTCTCTAAAGGCTGCTCTGAAAGCAAGAGCTCTTGAGGTTTAACCTTTCAGGAGAATGAACTAATAAACACAGATCCATACACCTAGAAGTCGAAGGCAGATGAATGTGTTTCTCCTACCAGGAGAGGCTCTAGGGCTGGCTGGAGTAATGGAGCCAGCACTTCTGAAACTCCTTGCTTGGAACAAGAGGCAGTATTGCTTTATCTGTCTTTGTCATGATTTCCTTCTTCCTCTGCTCCAACTCTGAATCAACTCAATTCATGTCAAATGTGAAATCACGGATCATCTACTTTCTACAGAGAATTGAGTATCTTCTTAGCCAGAAGAAATATGACAATGCTGATGGCTTCTCTCTCTAAATGAGGTATCTTAACAAATGAGGTATCTTAACCTTTACAGATAAAAACTCCCTGATTCTGAGGCACAGCTTTAGGGTGCAGATGACTCCCCAGAGGCTTCTTCTCTCTTTGGCTCTTCAAATACTCCAAGCCATCAGAGCTTCTTCAGCTAAAGGCCCTGAAGAATCCTATTCCAAAATAACCTGTTGACTAAAGCACCACTTGGAGTTAGAGGCTCAAACTTCCCCAGTCATACCAGGTATCTAAATCTGGGCCTTCCCTGTTTGCCTAACTGGTAAAACTGGACATAATGGACCATCAGTGACCATCCTCAAGACTGGACCCTACAGGCAAAGAAGGAGGGAGGAAGCTTGTGGGCTACACAGTCTATCTGCCTGCCACAGCATCTAGAAGTCAGCACTCAGGCATCCAGGGACTTGGACAAACTCAGCAGTTTCACCGCTAGGAGAAGATGAGCCAAAAGTCTACTTTGAGCGGAGCTGAGGTTCAGAGAGGTAACAAATGTGGTGCCCTGAATTCCCTATTATCTGTGCTCTGCAACATTACTGAAAGTCAGTCTACCAGCAACCAGGTTCATAACCACAAAGAAGACATCTTCCCTCTTACCTGTAGTAGCAATACAGTCAAATCCCACAAAAGCATAAAAACATGTGGCTGCCCCTGAGAGGACTCCATTCCATCCATAAGGCATAAACCCTCCAACACCGTAGAGCTTTTCTTCCTGTGTTTGACTAAAAGGCATGGCACTGGATTAGAAGTGATCCTGCCTAAGTGGGAGTAACAAAGCTATTCACATAGCTCATAACTAAATTCAAAGTCGAAGTTTGAAGGAACAGACTCTCCTTTTCACATGCTAGCATACAAATACCAGGCAAAGTGCTAAGCCCTACCCACTGCTGAGCTTTGGACTGGCTTGCAACAGGCTGGGCAATGCACAGAATAAAAATGGTTTGTGGTTTGTTCCCACCACCCATTTTGTGGGGTGGATAAATATGTCTTGGCTAAGACAAGGAGAAAATAGCATGAATATTTAAAATTCTCTCCTAATACTACTGCATGTGTGTAGATATACATATTCATTTAAAAAGAAGCTTTTGAAAAAGCACAACATGTAATTCTAAAAGCTGAAGACCGAGAGACATGTAAACCATACACTTTTCATTTAAGAGGGACTTGGGAAAAAGTGTAGGTGAGTAGACATAAGAGAGGAATGCAGGGTGCTGTGACTATCTAAAAGCCATCCAATCCTCTATTCTCAACTTCAAAATTCCTTGTGCCAAGCTCATATTCAAACTATGCTTGCAACCCTAAGGGAGAAGTGGAGCCTGCATCCCTGACACACCAAATGCTTTGCTGAGCCTTATCCAAAGTTCATTAAAGTCAACATACAGACACATGCTGATCACTGTGCACTCTGGATTGGGATCACAGATCCACGAGCCTGTGTTGAGTGACAAATAAAAAACATACCCTTCAGTTCAAGTGACTTAAGTCACTTTTTTCAGTGAAAAGCCTTTGTAAAGATGAATTAAGGCAATTAAAGTAAATCCCAAATCTGCAAGTCTTATCAGGTGTAAGCATCTGACCTCTCTCATAGAAACTCTGTTGAGACTTAGATGAAAACTGGCTCACAGAAATAGCACAACGCAAATATGGATTACTCTGGAAATAGTGATAAAGTAAAGTAAACCCCAGACAGATTTTAGAAAAATACAAAATGCTACAGGTCAAAGAGCTATGCTTTGAAACTATTGCACTAATTGCTCCTTGCATAGGAATAACAGCAGGGAAGGAGGGGGGACCTGTCCTATAGAAGCAATTTGTTCACAGCAGGTTGAATTTTGCAGAGGCTCAAGAAGTGGCTTTTACACAAGCTAAATTTGACCCACACAACATTTATGAATCTCAACAGATTGCACCAAACTCTACTTGTTTGCAGGCCAGCATAAAGGGTTACACAGCAAGCCAGGACTGAGTTGATGTATATGGAGATATTTAAAGGCCCTCATTCTGTGTTGCAGAGTCTCAAGCAAAAATGAATAGTTTTGTCTTAGTAGTAAGCCTTGTAAGCTCCTTAATTTTAATCCCATATAGGACGACAGAATTTTGGCCAAGGAGAAAAATGTCATTAAAAACAGATTTGTGATATGCTTACTGCAATGCATTAAATAATCTGCAACTTGCCTTCATTTTATTGAGGCATTTGGAACAAAGTCTCCAAACGGTACAACAATGCCCCAAGGATATTGCCCAAACATCCAAAGAAAGTACACAGCTACACTTGGACATGGCTTCATACAGGAACCAGAGCCAGCCTGGTGTAGCCTTGAGTAGGAGGTTGTCTAAAGAGCTCTTTTCTCTCAAATTTGGATGTCATTGGTCATGAGGCTAGAAATGATCAGTTCTGCAGCACAGCCCACACCGACACAGCCTATTCCTAGCAGTTTTGGCCCATCAGTACAGACTGCTTTCAGCAAGCACCCACCAAAGCCAGCTTTGCCTCCAAGGTATTTGGCAAAGGAGGCTGCCATCCCATTCACTGGTTTTCTAACTCACCCCACAACCCCCCCTACAAGCTTGCTATAGAAAATGCACCAGCTTCTGAGATGAGAAGAAAAGATCCAACCTACTTGTCTCCATAAATGCTGTGGCTGGTGTTGTAAATGTCCTGTTCAGTCAGATGCCAGTTTTTAACAGATCCTTTCACAAAACCAGAAATCATGACGAAGCCGAGGACTAGGACGTTGATGCAGGTGAACACTTTGTTCACCAGTGCGGATTCTTTCACGCCAAAGATTAAAAGCCCTGGGGAAAACACGGCAGTCAGGTATTTTGCCACCAGCAGCAGGCACTGGGGGCTCACAAACATAGCCCAACTCTGTTCATGCTGTGCTCTGCCCAACTTACCACACCTCGTTTCTCTACAAAGCCAAGTAGTCCAGGTGTAACTCATCCAGAAGTAGGATGAGGACTCCAGCCCAGACGTTACTACTGCAGAATGTGACACATCTTCCCACCCAGCATGCCCATGTGGCATGTGCTGCTGGTAAAGTGCTTTGCTAACACTTCCAGCACATTCAATGCCAGCTCCGGTCACCTCATGCTGCTACACTCCGCCACCTAGACACAGCCTGGAACTCCACCCAGAGATCCAGAAAAAGCACCAGAGGTGGTTTTTTATGAAGGAACATTGTCTTAGAGTTCTTGACTAAATGCAGAAGTTATGACAAACAGTGAACTTTCCTTAGAAAGAGGGGGAAATACGAGCAGGGACCAAATCCAGGAGGATTCTACTTTTAGTAGCTATTTCTAGTGCTGAAGACACAGAAGAAGGTAGCATCTTGGGAATTCTGCTCCCATTTAAATCAGCAGGAGCTTTGCCAGTAAGTTCATCAAGAGCGTGATTTCAGCCTGGTCTTAAGACAATCTATCTGAAGAAGAGCATAGTTACAGGCTTTGGCAAACACAATCTCACTGAGGCATAGCTTGGCTCCTCAGAACAACAAGCTCTCATAATTTGCATTTGCTCTTCAGGTGCCCAGTTTTTAAGAACTGAAACCTTTAAACCAAATCTAAGGCTGAGGGAGAAGGTAACAAAACTTTATATGGGCCTGAGGGAGAAGACAAGAACAACACGGTGTCCTTTTACTGCTACTCCTTTAAAGGATTTCAAGGAAAGGAGAGCATCCTGTGCACTCACCTTTCCTTCTTTTAAGACAGGAAATAAGCTGACACAGCCATATCAGGGAAGCATTTCAAAAGACTGCATACCTGCCCATGAAAACTTGTAAGGTACCTAGTAGAACTCTGAAGGTCAAGACAGTGCAAGTAGAAATAAACTTGTGGTGCTTATATTTGGGATTAAAGCTGCTCATTCAGCAGCTATTTTTTAGAAAAGAATGGCTTGCATTTTTTGTTAAAATCAAGGGAATTTGCTTCATGCAGGGGCATAAAGCCATCAGTAATCTGTATAATTTTACCCCTTGGTATTGTTAAAGTAAGGAGTCCTAAATTTTCTAAATTGTATCTGAGATGAAAGACTAGATTCTAACTAGATTGAAATTAGAGCAATTAGAGCAATAACACACAAATGAACAATGAGGAAAATCTTCTCACCCATTCAGATGTAACCCTGAAAACAAAGGGCTGCTATTGACTTCAGCAGCCCTTGATATAGTCCTAGATCCAAATGCAAACCCAGATCTCAAAGCATCCCTTGCTTATTGCGGCCTGTGCTCGTGAGCACAGCTCAGGCCATGAGAAGGCCATTCTGATCAGTAGGAAATGTCAGGATAACCTTGCTAGTGTGGCACTGCAGCTCCCTTCTGCAAACCACAAAGGGGTACATAAGAAGCATAATCTTTCAAATTCACCTAAACTTGGTAATGCTTTGCAAGATCCAGTTGGAGCAGAGGCAAACATTCAAAAGGATTTTGATCTTAGAAGTTTTCAAAACTTTTCCAAATTATGATCAAAGCCTTGGTACATTTTTAGAAAAAGAAAAGACACCTTGACTGTTTATTACACATTTATTTCTCTGGAGACTTGTAGTCACTTCTGCAAACTGAAGCCCATATATATTTTTTAAAAAACAAAACAGTAGTATATGAGACTGTAACTGAGTCTTTCCTATCTGAAGGCAGCAAAAACTGGCAGATTATCAAAGGGGGAATAAGGTTAATAGACCAACTGTATGAAATTCTTGTGTAATAGGATTTGTGGAGGGAAGGATTAAACTTCCATACCTGATTGAGGATAACAAGTCATCTTTTCTTTTCCTCCTTGAAGGTTTTAAAACTAGCTCAAAAAATATTGAGAATTCTCCCCTCTAATTAAAAACCTTGTAAACAGGCTAACTCCACAGCAGCTATATAGGTCAATCCAACACTTGTAGGAAAGAAAAAGTCTCTAATGTGTTGTCCAAAATAAATCAGGACTTCACGCCCACTCCAAAAGCAAACAATGAAATTACAGGACAAGGAGGTCCAAGACTCACAACCCCCCAGTGTTTCACCTGTTAGAATGATGATTATCACCACGGCAAAGATGTCTGGGTATTTTGCTAGCACTCCAGGGGCATCCATCGTCATGTACTTTTTACAAAATTCCTCAATGTGCTTCCCTATGATTTCATCAAATGTTGCGCTCCAGGCTCTGGCCACGCTTGAGGTTCCTGCCAGAGGACAGAAAGGACAGAGATCACCCTTTGTGGCTGGCACATGTTCCCAACTAGGGGCATCTTGCAAGGTTTTTTGGCATGGAGGACCTCAAAGCAACACTACGTGTGCTCCCAGGTGCTGGGAGTAGCCTTCTTCTCTGCATATACAGCTCACAGCCTGTGTTCATGCCTGGCATCTGCTCTGATGGTAACACACACAGGTGGTGGGTCTCAGACTGATGCTCAGCTGACAAGATGAAAAAAATCCTTTTAGTTTGGCTTCTTCGTAAACTTCAACTCTGCCTTATATACTGCCCAGACCGACCTTTTCCTTACATACCCAGCAGCCTGACCTTCCCCCAAACTTGGTAATTTCTGTTACCAGAGAGGTCCAAGTGTTGTGCTGGCAGAGGACCCTGCCAGCCCCAGCAGGGTGACTGCAGGGCAGGCGGAGGGACCTCACAGAAGCTAGGTGCCCTCCAGCAGCACGACGCTGGAGCACCAGAGCCTAGACCACACCACTTGCCCAGCTCTGCATGCTCTGCTCTCTGGTGACTTGCAGGTCTGCTCTGACCTCTGATGCTAGAGCATCCAAGCAGGATAAAGACTCAAGACACAATTTACAGGCTATCTGAGCATAAGTCAGCCTCCTGCAGGATGCTGGTGATAATCCCAGCAAGTGCCATGGCTCCTGCCTGCAGCAAGTGCTCAGACTTTGCCCTCTGGGTCCGCTGTTTGCTGCAGTTCTGAGAGCACCCAATGTCGTGCAGCTTGCTGGCATGAGGACTGAACCTGTAGTCTTAAGACAATCAAGTCAGGGACATTGTCTGGGCCATAAGAGTCATTTCAGAGAACTGAAATAGTAACAACGAAAAGCTACCACCACACAGTGACAGCGCTTTGTATAATAAGTAGGTTTGGGTAAAAGCCAACTTCTCCATCTCCTGTGATAAAGTGGCTACCATCATACTCCCCATGTCTCATACAGTACACTATATATAACTGCACCTAATTGCGTGATATAATTACTACTGTACATAATTACCTAATTAAAAAAAGAGGTTGGCTTGGTTTTGGTCTGCAGAGCAGTTCCTCGGGGGACACCATCAGGGGCCCCCTTCCACCCAGAACAGTTTGTTCTGACACACTCACCTGTGTGTGGGTGTTCAGGTCCCAACTCCGGCACCTGCAATCATGTCAAACAGTGTCCGTGCTCACCTACAGCTAAATCCTCCGCAGCGGCGGCGGCGGGCAGCACCTGCAGCACACCTGGGAACACTCACCGCCCCGATCCAGCTTTGCAACAGCATAAAAATAAGCTGCAGAACAGACCTGTTTGGAGGCTCTTCTGTTCACTGAGACAGCAAAGTGCACAGTGTGAACACCTTTAATGAGGTGGGACATCATTGCCATCAATTCAATCTTGAAAAATTCCAAAAGTTATTGTATACCACATTACAATTTTTCAGCTTAACTTTGGCACGATTTGAGCAAAAATGCTATTTTAATGCTAATTTTTTTGTCCTAGTTCTAATATTTCGTGTTCTAGGACAGAAACAACCAGCTCCTGCATGTGTTATATTAGATGCCAGTTGCTTGGATGCCAGTTCCATGTAGATATCAGCCATTTACCCTGAATTCTCTGTGACCAACAGCCTTGAGGGAGCAGGGGGAATCTGACATTCTTCCAACATCACAGACACCTGGATAATCTCTTGCTGTTGCTAGAGAGCACAGTGCAAAGACATTCAACTTGTACCCAGGAGGACTGTGTCAGCATAACCTCACCAGATTTGATCTGGCTCCTGCCTCAGCCCACCACCCCCAGGAGAACTTCTAAGCTCAGGTGCCAGACTCACAGCAGGAACAGGCTAAAAGGTCACCAAGTGCCAGAAACCCAGCAGCAGCCACTCACCAGGGATGTTGTTACTCATCAAACTCATCATACTATCAGCTCCCACCAGCTTCCAGTTCCTGAAATGCCTCCCACAATCTGGTATGGTTCCCCAAACCCACATCATCCCAGAAGAAAGTTCAGAGAAGATCTTGGTTCTGGACGCCTTCTTCCTTCTGTCTAGATCTTAACTGATCAGTTGCACACCCATTTTTTCCTCATCGCCCACCTCCAGGACCTCATACCAGCCTTTCCCCAAGCCAAGTCACTTCAATTAATTAAAAGCTATTGGCCACCCATCCCGGGATCCCAGGATTTCTTTTCCACCCCCACAATACTTTCTGAACAGATGCCTGAGAACTTCAGCATAAAAACATCAAACAGGCTGAGCCCCTTAGAGATGCAAGCTCAGTTTCAGTGGCACTGCTTGGCATTTTCTCAGCACAAATGAGGAAAAAATTGGCTTTCTGCCCCTCTCAACCCCTGGCTCTGAAGTGCAGCATGTGCCTGCCAACACATCTTTCTCCTCCACACCCTTGAAGCTGCTGGGAGTTGTCCTTGCTCACAGGAGGGGCAATTAGCACTGGGAAAAAGGGTGGATAAGATAAAGAAAGAGACCTCCTATACCTCATATCCTCCCCCAATTGTTTTTCCTCCTTAGCCACCCTTCCTCGCAAATTATGAGGAAGCCAGTTTGCAAACATACATTTTTGACACAGGAGTGAAATAAAAGCAAGAAAGTTGTGTTTGAACACATTAACAGATCTACTTATTTTTTACTGAATTTTCTGCCTTGTGATAATACACTAAGCAGCCAACTCTGAAATAAAAACTGAGGCATTCAAAAGCCATTATGACAGGGCAAAAAAAAAAGTCTCAGAAATACCACTCTGAGCCCAGATCATGAGCATATAATATTCAGTAGGCAAATCTTTTCATCATGCATTTGCAGAATCAGGTTTTGGGACAGCATCCACAGTTATGTCAGTCATTTTGGTCGTCCAGTATCATGGTAGGAAGGGACCCAAAACCAATTAGATGAGGAGCACAAAGGAGATGATTTATCATTACCTTTCTGGAACAGAAGAAAAATTACCAAGAAGTCTGTTCAAATTTTCTACATGCAGCCTAAGCAGAGTCCATTTTAGAATTCTGGAGGAAATTATATGCTCACTTTTTTAAAAAATTATTTTTATCCCCTCCTTGCAGTGAATTTTATTCACAAAAGAACAGCAGGACTCCGATTTCCTAAGGAGAGTTTAATGACTCTGGCTTTTCATCTCTCTCTTTTTTTTTTTTTTTTTACAAAAAATAGGAAAAAATAAAAAAGAGGAGGAGGAAAGGAGGAAAATGTTTCAGGTAACACACAGAGCAGAGCCAGTACAACCTCAGACAAACAGCTGCTAAGCCAATATGTCATTCTTGATATGATCTTACCCTCCACGGGAAGGTGAATTCCATGGAAACTAAATTCCAAAGTAATACTTACATATCCCATAAAATGCACTAAAAAAAGACCCCATTCCTTTATTAATTTAGCATACGATCAGTTTTCACTTTAACTAGTAAGCTTTCACTCTCAACTGGCAAGTCGGCTGCAGCATTAATTACAGGCGTGATGACAAGCAACCTGCCCAGAATGTGCTTGAAAAGACATGAATCCTTAATTAGCAAAGTGTGGCTTAGTTTTAATGTACCAGCTGAGTTGTACAGTGCATGCTCTGAGCTTCATCCAGAGCCTCTCCTAGTGGGAGTCAAGGGCTTAGAAGGGATTTGGTTTGTACTTTCCAGAGACTGTGAACCTGCAGATCATCCTAAGCTTAATTCTGCAGCCATTCACAAGACAAAACTCTGATCTCCAGATACTTTAAATAGATCCCAAAGGGACCAGAATTAATCCTTGATCAGCTGTGAGTACAAATGCTCTGTATAAAAGCATCTTTCCATCTGCAGCTCCTTTCTCAGCAGAGGGAACACATTTTTGCACCCTGGCAAGTGTGCAGCAGCTAGAGGATGCCAAAGGGATGAGGTGGAAATTCAGAAGTCACAGCAGCAATAAGCCTGCATCAGGACAAACCCTCAGCGGGCAGCATACCACTCACATTGCTGACTGACAGGAGCCAGCAACAACACACCCCACAGATGAGTCCTGAAATCCTCCGTGAGTGCCAAGAGTAAAGCACCTATTTTGTACCAGTAGCACAGGCACTCAAACAAGGCTAACCTTACAAAGCAGGCTGCCACCCTGAACTCAATCTAGGGTGTCACAGCCCACCCACCATACTTACCGATAACGTAGGAGAGGATTAGATTCCACCCTGTGATGAAGGCCCACAGCTCGCCCACGGTCACGTAGCTGTAGAGATAAGCTGATCCCGTCTTAGGAACTCGAGCACCGAATTCTCCGTAGCAGAGTCCGGCCAGCACCGAAGCCAAGGCAGCAATCAAGAAGGAGATAACAATGGCAGGTCCCGCGTTTTCCCGTGCCACAGCTCCAGCCAGTACATAGACACCGGCACCCAAAGTGCTGCCTACACCCAGAGCCACCAAGTCAAACGTGTTGAGGCACCGTGAAAGCCGACTGTCTTCTCGAGTGCAGTCAACATTTTTCCGGCGAAGAAGCTGGCTTCCAAAATTGGTAATTTTCTGACACTCCATCTTTGTGTTTGAGCCTGTAAGAAAGATGCTGCCATCATTATCTAGCTCAGAATACCCTCCCAAAATGGCATCACTGTGGAGGTACAGTGCTACAGGCCTGTTACATTTCAAAAAACTAAACTGCCCACCTTCCACCTTTTCACATGGCAAACCGTCTCCTTTCCCATTTTACTTAAGACTTAGCACAGGTAATTAAAACAAGCAAACCCAAAGCACTTTCTCCTTCTAGCTCCCAGCCATGCTGCAAAGCCTCTGTGATCCCAGGAGAGAGGCAGGACTCCAGTCCAGCTCCCACGCCAGTACACAGCCACCCAGTCAATACACAAGTGGGCAAGCCAAAAATGCAAAGTCCACCTTTCAGGTTTCAGAGGAGTTTTCCTGTTCTAGGCATAAGAGTACTTTAAACGTGAATGTCCCAGTTACCCCATTTACCACACTTTGGTTCATGCTGCAGAGCGCTTGTGAAGTGCACAAAACAGATACTACTGGGATGAACTTAAACCTGAGGACGTTGTAGGGGCATACGTAACACATCCCAACCTGACTGGCACTCAGTCTGCACGAAGAGCTACTCCAGGATAAATTCTTCTATCAGATGTATTGTGCGGACATCAGATTCTCAGAAACAACTGCTTTGCTCTACAAATCTACAGGCTGTGTAGACACAGCCTACAAGGATGAGCCTCATCTTCCATCTCAGACAGCACACTGTAGCTCTGAGAGTCCAGCACCAATATCCACACCACAACATTAAGCCTGGCTTCAACAACAGGGCTTTAAAGACGTTTCTTCATTTATTATGGAAAAGGTTCTTTTATTTAGATGCAATGCTGGACTGAGGTGTACACTGTCCAGCAGTACACATTGCACATTAACATCAATACTATGATGAGAATAACGTGTAGGCAAAAAATATTACTAAATGCAATTTACAGTATGGTTCAGTGAGACTGGTACTTCATCAGCTCCACAAAAACCCAGTGTAAAAGGTGGGAAAATACATGCTAAGAAACTTAATTAACTATTAAATCCATGCTTCAGTTTTGTCACCATAACATCAACTACAAAAACAAAAATCCTCTTCACTTTTCCAAGACACCAGTCCTAAGTCCTGGCTTAAATCCCTTTCTCTTGGCTTTACGCTAACCCTCTAACTATGAGAAAGTAATTACAACTGCAGGAACAGTGCTGAGGATTTACAAGTCCCACTGTGTTAGGAATTGTCTCCCACCAACAGCTTTCAAACGTGCTCCCAACAGACATGGATTTAGACAAATGGACAAAGGCAGGTTTGAGGCCAATCTTAGAAAAATCTCGTTTCACTAACCGTGGGAGTTCCCAGTGCACACAGAGAGGGAAAACTATCTTCTCCCTTCAGCAGGAAGATAGAACTAAGTTTTTACATAAGTGCATTCATATATCAGATTGTTCATGCAGCCTCCTTCCCACTTGAACCTTACACAAAGCCCTATCAGCCAGGATTGCTTTTGGCTGGACACCTGCCCACCCCCCCAAAGCTGGGAAAGGACAGTCCTGAACTCTGAACTGGGTTAAACATACAAGAAGAGTATAGCACTGGAGCATTCCCTATGAATTTTGTTGTTTTCTAGGACAACACAAGTCCTAGGTTCTGCCTAACTCTCACCAGAGTGATGCAGAGATCCCACTGATGCCTCCATCCTTTGAAGACCATGGCCATGGGTCTAACTCACCCACTCAGCTCAGCAGTGGTTCTGGTTTACACTCAGCTTGGAGCTCCAGGAAATGGGAAGAATCCCAGTGCCATGCACCAAGAAGAAAATGCTGCAGAAGATACCAAAAAAAGCCCTCCAAATCAAAACAAAGAAATCCCTGTCACAAACTGCAGCCAACTGTGAGATACACACAGAAGATGTGCAAATGAATTTATTTTCCAAAGTCAGTGTGAAAGGCAAGACCAGTTTGACTCAGAACAAAACTCCGGATTTCAGGACAAACACGGGTTTATTCCGAGGTACAGAAACATCAAGACACACCAAAGGACTGATGAAAAACAGTTTACTTCTTGCTAAGTCAATATTTGTGGCAAGGTTTAGACATTCAGTGGCCTGAACAGAAGAGCTGGAAGAAGCATAGAAGACTACAGGGAAGACACAGCTGAGGCTATTAATAAAGATAGAAAAAGGAAAGAATGTAGAGAGATGGTCCAGCTTAGGGAGAAGCTGAGCAACGAGCTAGAGAGGTCTACAGAGATGCAATGCAGGTGGGCAGGGCTTGCACAGCCTTTGCACAGAGCCCTGGTCAGGCCTGGATGGACCCCTGTGGCTGAGCTGGACAAACAATAGGGAGAAAACTCAAGAGATTTTCCTGAGACATTGAATACTTGGTGAGGCTACAAGTCCAGGCCTCCCCAGATCTCAGTAATTATATGCAATGTTTCATGTTCCTCAGGATTTGTGCCTCCAAGTTGACATCAACCTTGCTGAGCACACTGGGTTTCATCCTACAAGGCGCTGAACACTTCTTAAGCGGAAAAGCAAAGTGAGGGAGGAGGGCTGGACCATGTAATGTGCAGAAGGAAAAGGTTTGTGATGTGCACTTATTCATCAACGTGGGTTTCTATGATCCTCACACAATGGGAAAAGGGCTGACCCTAATTGCTAAGTGGCACTAATGATATGCTTGCTTGCTTGCTTGCTTGCTTGCTTGCAGAGTGTAAGTGACCTACTGTCCCCACAAACCGCACAAAGCTCCAAGGAGGACATGCTCTGTGGTGGACAAAAGAAAAAGGCAGAAGTCAGGCTATGCAGTTTAACATTATCTTTGCCTAGGCAAGTGCCCCTAGGTGGAGGTGGACCAAAGTTCCCTGCAGAAGAGAGCCACTCTTCCTCCTCCTTTCACCACCACTGACACCCAAAGAGCTGTGGATGCTAAGCCTCTTTCAGGATTTGGCTCAAGTACTTTTTGGCTTCAAAAGCATGCTACCTAATAATAATGGTAGACCTTCTACTTCTTACATAGCCATTTACCTTAACCAAACCTGGTGTCTTGCAAAATTAGCATGACTTAGTGGTCCCAAAACAATGGGAGTTCTAGTTCTGCTTTTAAAACAGAGGTGTTATCTGGTACTCAATGCCCTCCCCTGTCACACACATCATAAGAATGGCAACAACAGGGCTGGGGAGGGGCAATGCCCCAGGAGAGGAACAGCCCCTTAATGCAGGGATGGAGAATCAGGGTATGAACTTGGCAGGGTTTTTGGGGGGCAGAGGGATGTACAGTTTATTCTTTAAAGAAAAAAAAAAATCTAGTGATTCACTTCAAGTTTATGTATCACTCAAAAATATCCCATAAGAAACATATTTCAAAATTATTTTGTTTTGAAGCTCCCTCTGGGACATCTACAAGTATTCACAGCTGTACTACAGCTATCAAGAATAAAGCAGAACCACCTCTTATGGATCATTTGTTTAGAAGAGGGCCTATTTAATTATGACAAACCTGGAAATTAAGACCAGCATCCTTCAATTGCCTTAATGACAGTGGACAACGTTTTTCTAGCTCATCTCCAGATAAAGATATCAACTTCTCCTGCCCCAAAAGCCCCTCAAAGTCTGAACATCTCTATTGTGAATAAAATGCTTCCTAGAGCTGCAGGTAACAGCCAGGGAGCTGCGTGCAGGGCATGGTACCCACACTGCAGCCATATTCTGCAGCCCTTGCATACAGAACTGTTGTTCATATCACAGAAAACTGATCACCATCCTAGGCACCTAGGCACATGTTTTCACTGCTTTTGAAACAGCAGGTACCAAATCAACCTTTTACTTTCAATTATATTCACTGTAGCTTGACAAAGAGACCTTCAATAAAGGCAAGGAGGATTTTTTTCAAGAGAACAATCTTTTGCTTTAGCAGGATGCAGTACAGGGGTCATTACACCTTTGCCCAAAACGTTTCCTCTGTATCATTTGTTATCTTTGCAATTGTATCAAAGGGTGATTTTGGCGGAGATTATTATTTTTCCCTTCTTAGAAGTTGGATCCAGCTGTGATCTGACTGTTTCAGACAGTGATTCTTGCCTTTGAAGTGAGGAAACATGTTCTGGGCTGGTTCCTCTCACTCCCACTCCCACTTGATACGATGAGCCATTTTTTGAATGTCAGTTAGTATTCCCATGGTATAACGCAGTCCTAGTAACATAAAACAATATAAATTATTCCAGAAATGCAACCTGATGGTATATAATGACCTTCCAATTGAGGAAACTTGATCTGAACGAACAGCGAGTAGCTCTGTTCTGCACACGCCCAGCTCTCATCCCTGCTTTAGCTTGGTTTCTCTAATGAGAAACACCAAGCTGCAAGCCCCAACCACTCAGACCCTGCGTAGGAAATGCCTTCACCCCAAGGCTCTGGGCACCTCCATGTTTCAGCAGGAGCCAAGATCTTTGAGAGCAGTGGGAAGCAATGACACACTTGGATAACTTAGCAAGGCGGATCCTGGGGAAGGGGCCCCATCCTTAAGTGAAATCCTGTCCCACTGAAGTCAATGGCAAAGCTTCCACCAACTTCAATAGCAGCCAATTCCACCCAGTGTTACTGGTCCTTGTCTTTTATTTACAATGCATTTTATGTTTGTTACTTTTGTTCCCTGTCCAAATTCTTGTGCCTTGACTGTATTGTATTTTTAAATAAAATAAGATATTCTTCCTCCTCTTATCTAGTGGTTAACATATCTATTATATCAGGTTGATAGATTTCCTTCCCCATTAATAACATTTTTAAAAACGACATTCTTCAAAACAAACCCCTAAGAAAATAAGCAATCTTGCACGTGGTTAACAGCAAAAAGTAAACCATAACAAACATCTGTCCACTTAAACATAAAACACCATGTGTAAAAATAAGCTGACAGGGCACCATTTTACATAAGCGGTACTATCACTTCCTCAACAATTACAATTTGTTTCAGCTTCTGAAAAACCACTCCTTATCTATTTCAAGGCATTACTGCTCCTGAGAATTTTCTTCTC